GCTAGGCCTTATGGTGGATTCCATACGGACGTGTTTGTGGTTGCTATTGATGTGATTATTGTGTTGATATATTCGTTGCATGTGTATTTGGAAAGTGTCGATTGTACCGTTCTCGTTGAGAACGGGATTTCCGGGTTCAACCCGGGCTACTCACTAAGCAGTTGTGCTTAGCCCTCGTGGTTTACATTTTTCAGATCACGAGGATTACGCCTAGCGCCTCAGCAGACGACGAACCGAGAGAAGCAGCATCACGTACGGGATTTGTATTTTGAATTAAGGACTATCGTTTCGGCTTTTGTACGGTTGTATTATGAATATTCGGACATGTGACTTATTGCGATACTAATCGCTTTGTATTTTCCGCTGCTACTCCGCTTTTAATTGAAAATGTTTTAATGTTTTTGGAATTTTCGCTTCCGCCATTTATTAGTTTATTATTTTACCTTACATCGTCCATGTGGCACAGCCCGTATACTGTACACGGGTTACGGGTGTCACAAGACCGACATGATAAAATCGAAGCCCGAACTAAACTCATCCTAAACCCGGTCCGGCCCGCCCATTTTACACCCTAACTTCAGCAACTCTTACCCAAGAGAGGTGTTCGAACTATGTCAAAAAATTGAGACTTTTCAATCCACGACATTCGAACAAATAACTCGGTAAAATTTTATTGTACATATGCACGTGTATATGAAAGAAATTAAGATGTTTCTTTTTTTTTTCTAGGAAATATGATAAACAATATTATTAAATACTTTGTAAATATGATTGATTGCACCGTACATATATAGTGCATATATGGTGTATACACAAATAACTCATCCTCATTTCATTTCTTCTCAATATATATATGGTTAATCCGATCTAACAATCAGTCGTTCACGATCTAACAATCAGTACATTTTCTGTACAAATAAAATAGAAAAGAGTTTTTCCAATTCTTCTCTCCACAAGTAATTATATTTATAAAAGTTTACAATTATATTTACATAACTAATAATATTTGAATCATATTTATAGAAGTTTGCAATCATACTTATATAAAACTAATAATATTTGCAATATAAGATCATATTTACAGAATTAATAACAGGAAAAATCTAAAAAAAAAACACAACTTTCAAATTTTGACAAAAAAAAAACACTGAATTTTTTATTTTATCAAATAAACATTAAATTTTTTAAATTTTGACAAAATAAACACTTAACTTTTCGATGATTGTCAAAATAAACAAAATGGCTGATATGACACAAGGAGATACAAACACATCAGATTATTTTACTTAGTTTGTTTTACAATCGAAAAAAGTTCATATATTTTTTTGGATCATTAAAAAAGTTCAATATTTTTTTTAATCATAGAAAAATTCATGTATTTTTTGGATCACTTAAAAAGTTGAGTGTTTTTTTAGATTCATTAAAAAAGTTTAATATTTATTTGACAAAAAATAAAGTTTAGTGTTGTTTTTGTCAAAATTGAAAAGTTCAGTGTTTTTTTTTCCTTAATAATATTAATCATTTATTTTCTAGTTTCTTGCAAAAAAAGAAAAGAAAAAACAAATTATATATATATATATACACATGTATATATATAATAAATCTTAACAATTTTTCTTCGATTATTTGTTCAAATATTTTGATTGAATAATCTTAACTCATTTACACAATTTGTAATCTTTTGTTGAGTAAGAACTGGTGAGGCATGCACAAATGCAGGATTGATGGAGGTGACGTTAATTCTTCATCATCAGTTCATTTGCCTTTTTGGTGATCTCTTCAACATCAGAAATCTATGTTTGGACACCAATAAACCGTTCACGAACTTTCTATTTTTTTAGTTTATTGTACAAATTTAGAAATTTACTAGAAATATATATAAAGCATTGTAATATATATAAAACACAGTAGATTTTCTATTCAAATAAAATAGAATAGAGTTTTCTAAGTTATTCTTATTTTTTTTCTACCTTTTGTTCTCCTGGAACATTAAATCGGTCGATCCTTCTCCATAGAATTGATTATCTTATTGCCTACCTGGTGTATTCGAGATCATACTGGTCTAGAGGTTTAAGATTGGAATTATGTCTGATGAGTTTGTGATAAAATCTCTTAATTACATGGTTAATTTCTCGTTGATACTTAAAATTTTAGTCATATGTATTTAGATAGATACAAGTCTTCTGAAAAAAAAAATGCTTAGATGCTTTTAGTAGAATTCTATGATTTCATCCAAAACCCTTATATGCAATACAGATCCTCCCGTGGAGGTCAAAACGCTGATTAGAAGCAACCATTGTTTCCATTCAAGAACCAATGTGTTGTTTCACGTGCCTAAATTAAATATCCGTAGAGACATAGGGTAATGATAAGTGCATTGGAATCTCAACCATGTTAGCGTTGGATGTCCGCGATCCTTGTTCCTTGTTCGTGTACCTGGGGCGACCCTGTCTCTTTCTCAAATTATGTTCCTTTTCCTTCCGAGATGTTTATTTTCGGCGTTTAATTTCTTCTTTGTTTCTGTTTATCGTATTCTTTTTTCAAGTGCGGATTGGAATGATTCGTTTTTCTATGCTTTTAAATGGTGATATATTATTCCCGGTAGATTGTTATAGGTGCACTGTGATGAATATTTGATTAGAATTAAAAGATGGACGCAGATCGAAATACGTATCAATAAATAAAGCATCGAGCGAGGGCACGTGTCGGACCCGTCCAATGGCATATACCTAGGCTCAGTTCAGATGCTCAGTTCCCCCCCGGTCATTTTAACCGGTGGTCAGGCTCCAACTCAACCACGGTTAACCTCCATAACCGTTGAGATCCCTCCACGTGTCTCAATCCCATCGCCAGGATCTCTCTCGCCGCTATAAATAACCCCCTCCACCGCCGATTCATTTCATCCGCAACGAATTCCAAAAATATCAGTCTCCGTTTGATTCACTTGCCTTTCGAGATCTGCAATGGCGTTCCCTAAGGTTTTCTTCGACATAACCATCGGCGGTCAGCCCGCGGGACGGATCGTCATGGAGCTCTACACCGACAAGACCCCGCAGACGGCGGAGAACTTCCGCGCCCTCTGCACCGGCGAGAAGGGCGTCGGCCGCAAGGGCAAGCCCCTCCACTTCAAAGGGTCCTCGTTCCATCGCATCATTACGGAATTCATGTGCCAGGGAGGCGATTTCACCGCCGGGAACGGCACAGGTGGCGAGTCGATCTACGGCGACAAGTTCAAGGACGAGGACTTCACCAGGAAACACACGGGTCCGGGTATCCTGTCCATGGCTAACGCGGGTCCCAACACCAATGGATCCCAGTTCTTCATATGCACCGTGAAGACGAGCTGGCTCGACGGGAAGCACGTGGTGTTCGGGCAGGTGGTGGAAGGGATGGACGTGGTGAAGGCGATGGAGAAAGTGGGATCGTCGTCTGGTAAGCCTTCGAAACCGGTGGTAATCGCAGATTGCGGTCAGCTCTCTTAGAGTTGATTGGCGGCTGTGGATCTAGGGTTTCTTAGATCTGTGTTTGGGTTGTGTGTGTGTTCTATTTTCGTGGCTGAGACGAGAGGAGGAGTCATGTACCTCCTCCTAATTAAATAAGATATGCCTTTTTCTGTTGTGTTAATTGGGGAAGAAATATCTGAAAGTATGAAATCGTGGTTTCTCTCTGTGGATCTGTTTGGATCTTGAAGGGACTCGGCAGGACACATCCTATCCACTTATCAAATCTTGAATGTGATTGTCGGGATTAGTAAATATATGTAAATCCCTTGCCATTGATCGCACTATTTGGACCCATTTGTCATATATATATTTCTCTAAATTGTCTTAAAACACGGTGAGGTGAGATATCTATTTTTGGGGATAAGGAGGTAAAGTATATTGTTGGTCAATGGACTAACAGTACCAGCGTATCAGCCGTATCGATTTAGGTCCGAAATCTGATTCGGTTCAGTTCAAAAATTAGCGGGTTTCGGACCCAGTCTGAAAATTGACGGGTTTCAAGTCTAAGTTTTTTGGCCTGAAAAAATCGGATTTTCGAGCCAGGTTCAAATCGGGTTTCGAATAAGAGTAGGCGTTTCGGGTTTCGGTTCGGTATTCAAGGGGTTCGGTTCGGGAATGATATTTTCGGTTTTATAAAAAGTGTACCAAACTAGAGCCGAATGTTAAACGGTTCGGTTCGGAACGACACCATTATATGAATACCAAATAAGTACCAAACTATAATATTTACATATATATTAGTGGAATATTCGAATTTTGGTTCGGTATTCATACGGTTCGGTTCGGGAACGGTTCGGGAACGGTTCATTCGGTTTCATAACAAATGTACCAAATTAGAACCAACCGTTATTCGGTTCGGTTTTGGGACAGATCAGGTCGGTACTAAATTTCCGAATCGGAGTCCCCACCCCTAGTTTCGAACTTGAGTCGGGCTAATCTGAAAGTCTGAAATTAAAAAAAGAAAAAAGAAAAAAAACAACATTTACAAAGGGAATTAAACGGAACGGCCCGGCCTGATCTGATCCAACCTAGAATACATAGGATCGGGCTTTAGATTTAATTACATGAATCCGAAAAAATGAGGTCGATCTAAATCCAAATCCGAAATCTTTGGATTGAATGCGGACTCGGACCGGATAGACACGATTGAGACCCCTGTACTAATCTATTCCTGTTGATTAGATTTTTTTTGTTTTAAAAAATTTGTATTCGACTAGTTGGTGGCATAAATGCCAAGTGGGTCCACTTTGTAAAGAGGCATGTTCGAACAAAACATTAAAATAAAAATAAAAATAAAAATAAAAAGATTAAATCCCATTAAAAACTTTGAACTTGTTAAAATATACCAAAACAAACCCCGAATTTTTGTACTCCCATAAAAAACCCCTAATTTCGTAAAAACATCCAAATAAAAAAGCAAGTTATCAATTTCTTCCACATACAATCTTTGACCGGTTTGATCAGATTTTTCGACAACGCAACGCTGACGTGTCATGTCTGAATGTTGACTACACCGCCACATCATCGATATGTCATCGCCATATCATCATTTTAAACAAAATTAAACCGGTTTAATTGATGCTCCAATTAGCCAAAATCGGTTTTGATTTTATGGTTTAATGTGGCAGTTTTTGCAAAAGTTTACTGGTTGTTTTGAATGTTTTTGCAGAAGTTCAAGGTTTATCGTAGAAGTTTTTATTAAAATTCTTGCAACAATATACTTAATTAAGATCTTGCTAAATTAACAATGTCAATCATGAACTACTCGACATTGTCTGTGTTACCAAAATAACAAATCATGTCTGTGTTCACAAAATAATAAATCATATCTATGTTAGCAAAAAAACAAGTTAATGACTCGTAAAGTTCTTGAACTACTTGACATTGTCCTTTTATTTTGATCTTGGAATATGAAATTGTCTCTGCATCGAACTAGAACTGGAAGCAACGTTTGGATTGACATTGGAACACGGAATTGAGCTCGAAGTTGAAGGATGTGCCGTCTACTTGTCGAACGAGGAAGTGGTGATGATTGCACTGTCTGACTCTCTTGTTAGAGGTGCCTAAAAAAAGTGAGATTAGTAAAAATTGGATAAAATATACAAACGAACATAAAAATGAGCAACAAACCAGTGGGATGCCAAAGAAGATGAAGTCGAAGAAGAGAGATTTTGTTGAAGTCTTTGTCGGTGGACGAAGCCGTTGCCGGCAGAGAAGGAAGACAAAGTCGACGAAGAGAGATTTAGGGTTTCTATTGATTACGTCTTTTTTATCAATTAAGAATGAATAAAATTAGTGATTTTTCTTATTTTAATCATTCTGATTTTTTTTTAAAATTAGAATTCTAAAATCAAACCGCTTTTCGCATACCGTATCATCACTTAAATCGGTTTATTTTTAAAATTGATGAAATGGCAGTGACGTGTCGATAATGGGTGGTAAAGTCGATAATCAAACGTGACACATCAGCACTCCATCGCCGGAAAAACAAGTCAAATCGGTCAAATGTGTTATGTGGAAGAAATTTATAACTTGCTTTTTTATTTGGAAGTTTTTATAAAGTTTAGAGTTTTTTTATGGAAACATAAAAGTTCAGGGTTTGTTTTGGTACATTTTAACACAAGGTTTTTCGTGGGATTAACCCAAATAAAAATAAAAATAATTGGATATGGGGCCGACTGTATACTAGTATAGATATGGACGAGTTTCTAAAAACTTATAGTTGGTCCATGAAGCCCATCTAATTGAAATCAGCCCAATTCCAAACTCTAGTAACATATTCTCTGACAAACTGGGAAGGTTCACGTTGCCTTTCATTTGAAAAAAAAATAAGAGTTTCGCGTCAACTGGATCCTGAAGGATCACGGAAAGTCCCGGCAAGACGACGAACTTCTCTTTGGCTCTAGTTTGAATCTATCTCCGTTGGTTTCAATTTCCCATTTTTCACAATCTCCGCCTTGCGCGATTGGTACTCGTCCCTCGCTATATTCCCTTTGTCAGATGTACAATCGCCATTGAATTGGACACCTTGTACCTAAACGACCCGAAATCACGTCTGGTTCTGATCCGAGTATTCGATTTCCACTCAGACAGCGAGTGATTGGAGTTTTAGGCTTACTAGGTACTGTTTTACCGGACAGCAGAGGGAGAAAGAAAGAAAGGAGAATCGGTACAATGGTGTCGGACAATGCGAAAGGGGTAATACTAGCTGTGTCGTCGAGTGTGTTCATTGGTTCGAGCTTCATTTTGAAGAAGAAAGGTCTCAAGCTAGCGGGTGCCACTGGAACCCGAGCTGGTAAGCTCATATCTTCATCCTGGTCCTGATTTTGCAATGCCCTTTTGGCTTTTGGGGAGTTTTGCCCTCACCAGATTTTTGCTGGATCGGTAGCTTCTTGTTAGCTTCATGTTGAATCGATTGGCACAGGGAATATCTTGTCTCGCATATCCGCATTTTTCGGGTTTTGAGCTCAATCTGAAATACCCGTTGCTCAATTGAGGTCTTCACCGTCCGAATTTGATAAAGTTCGTATTCCGTTTTACTTTCCCCTCGATTTCGATCAAGAGGCAGCTTTTGGTCTGATAGCAATTCCAATTTGCTCTTCAGGCAGCATTTGTCTTTTAACGATTGAACGATGCAGGGTTTGGAGGTTATACATACTTGCTAGAGCCGCTTTGGTGGGTGGGCATGGTGACAAGTGAGTGTGAAATCTCCATCCCAGTTTCTTCTTGTCTTACTGAATCGTTTAGTTCTAAAAAAAGAAAAGAACTGTAACCTGAAATGATAGTGATTGTCGGAGAAGTTGCAAACTTTGTGGCTTACGTCTATGCTCCAGCTGTTCTGGTCACTCCTCTTGGTGCGCTAAGTATAATTGTGAGGTGCGTAATGCATGGAGCTCTCGTTCTCGAAGCACATTCCAGAGATGTAACATCCATTCCCAGGCTAACCCATATTCTTCACTGATGACATTGACTACTAGTGCTGCTTTGGCACACTTCCTCTTGAAGGAAAAACTCAAGCTTATAGGAATCCTGGGATGTGTTTCTTGCATTGTGGGCTCTGTTGTGATTGTCATACACGCACCTCAGGAGCAGTCCCCGAGATCCGTTGAAGAAATCTGGAATCTAGCAACTCAACCAGGTTACTCTCTCTCTCTCTCTCTCTCTCTCTCTTTCTCACAACACACAAATTACTTTATGATGTTGCTCATGGGAGGAAAATCTGTTTCTTTTTCTTGTCTCTGGGGCAGCTTTTCTAGTTTATGTAGCTGTAACGATTTCGCTTGTCCTGGCATTGATTCTGCACTTTGAACCTCACTGTGGCCAAACAAACATCCTGATCTATCTCGGAATTTGTTCGTTTATGGGTTCTCTCACTGTAAGTTTTTTTTTTCCATCCATGATTCTAAAATATAATTTTTGAGCTCTATTTGCCTTTTGTTGTATACTTCTACATGTTTAACAATCGTGTTTGGTAACATTCGTTGATGTTTGGCGATCTTAAACAGGTGGTGAGCATAAAGGCAATCGGGATAGCAACAAAGCTGACATTGGAGGGCACAAGCCAGGTTGCATATCCGCAAACATGGTTTTTTCTTGCCGTTGCTGCAATCTGTGTCGTTACGCAATTGAATTACCTGAACAAGGTAAGGCTTCTTTATCAAATTTCCTTGGAGAACATGTGTTTTCACGTCATCTGGACCCCATTCCAGTTGATTATTAACCAGTCTGTTAATTGACCTGGCCTGCTGGATTAATAAAAACAAATCTTTCCTTTTTCCGGAAAATCCAAAAAAGACGTTCTCCCCAATCCATTGTCTACTCAGATTAATGCTCTTGAACTGTAGCTACATGCCAACGGCCTTGGAACTGTGTTGAACTGGGGACGTTGATTGATGTTATTGTGGGTTCTCTGCCAGGCACTGGACACGTTTAATGCAGCAGTTGTTTCTCCGGTGTACTATGTAATGTTCACAACCCTCACGATAGTTGCCAGTGCAATCATGTATAAGGTACATTTAGTTACATAAATGTGTGGATCAAGGATTGTATTTCCAGATCATTGTGGGGAATGCTAAATGTTGCGATGTGCAGGATTGGTCGGGGCAAAACATAGCTAGTATAGCCTCTGAGATATGCGGATTCATCACCGTGCTGACTGGCACAATCATGCTCCACACCACAAAAGAACAAGAACAAGCTTCTTCAGGTAGTAAACTTCCAGTCCTGTCAGATTCATCATGTGTTTGTTTTGTTACCCGCCCCTCCCCTTGAACGCAATGCTGTCTGATCTTTTTTATTTGCAGGAACCACGAAATGGCACGATTCAGTAAAGAGCATGGATGAAGAATATCTTATTAGTTTCCACAGCTCCGAATACTGAGGAATGTGTTGTTAAATCCTTTTGGAACATAACTAGAGATCATCCGTGTTCTTGGGGGATGCAGCTCCAGCTCAGATTGCCTTTGGAAGATGCTTAATGTTCTTTAATGTGTCCAAAATCATGGTGTCTTTTGAAGATCTCGCCGTACGTATATACATGCGCGCGCACAGACATGTTTTATTGCGGTTGTGTTTGTGGGTTGGGATCTAATTGGTTCTTGATTCCTCCACTTCAGCCCCGAATCTCTAATCTTTTGGGATGTTTCGGGGCTGGGGTTGTTTTCTTTTGTTCTCCCGACTTTTATCCATATTTTAAGGTTACTTACCGCTACCAACGAAATAAGTAAATCAATTAAATATATTTCTAGGAAATTTTGAATCTGTATCAACGACGGACTTTTTTTGGTAAAAAGATGTTTGTTTTGTATTGGAAAAATAGTTTATTAATTTAATAATATTTTCCGCCGTCTGAGAAATATATAATCGAATCTGTACGCCATTTGATATGTGTTTTCCAGATTTGTGAAGAAAAAAGAGATGGGAACGCGTGATAATAACTCGTGTATGCAGCGCGTGGTATGATTGAACATATAAAGTTTTCGCCGTTGGATCCAATGGCCCATTTTATTAAGTTATTGGGCTTGCCCATTTCCTTTATTCTTTCGTACCTTTTTCCGATTTTTATACTGAATTCACTTTTTAATTAGGATTTCGTCTTAATGGTTTATGATTTTAATACTAAAAAACAAAGATATTTTCATCAAACATACAAATAAATAAGAGATTTGACATTCTGTATATTTGGTGTTGGATTTACAAGCTTTTATAAATATTCTTTTTCAGATTGTCTACCTAAATTTTCCACCCATGCACTCTATTTTTTAAACGGATTATAATGTTTAATATAATTTCAGTAAAGTCATATATCATGATTATACAAGATCCTATATAAATTTACCATTATAATTTTTCCAACAAACCAAACATTTGGAGCCACGAATAAGGATTTAATGATTTATAAATGGAAAATGTATATATTTACCAGGGTGGTATGATCTAGTAGTTTTTTGAAATTAACTTTACCTACATTTAAGTTTAAATTAGAATCGGAAAGATATCTGCTGATTATCAAGTTTGTCTATTTATGCACTCTCATATGAATGCATGCTCTTCCCCCTACCATTTACCATTTGAAGCATTATCTTCGCACATATACCTATATATAACAGTTAAAATGCACACAAAATAAAATGATAATCATAATAATATCGTTGACATAGTCAAAGAAGAGGAAATATACATGCACCGAGCGATGAAGGCCGGAAAAGCAATAATGATAGTGGCCATGTGCCTGGCCGTTGCGGCGGAAACGGTGCATAGCGAATCGTCGTACTACAGCACGACCAAGGCGGCGAAGGTGATGAAGGAGAAGATGACACGTGTCCACTTCTACCTCCACGACATCCTGAGCGGCCCAGACCCAAGCGCCGTGAGGATCGCGCACGCGAACGTGACGGCAGCGGAGGACTCGCCGGTGGGATTCGGGAGCCTATTCGCGATCGACGATCCGATGACGGTGGGGCCGGAGGCGGGGTCGAAGGGTGTGGGGAACGCGCGTGGGATGTACGTATCGTCGAGCAAAGACATGAAGAACTTCACCATCGTCATGTACGTGGACTTCGGCTTCACGACGGGGAGATTCAACGGCAGCTCCTTCTCGGTGTTCTCGAGGAACCCAGTTGGCGATGGAGCCCCCGTTCGCGAGGTTGCGGTGGTCGGAGGCCGTGGCCGGTTCAGGATGGCTCGAGGCTTCGCCAAGATCAGGACCCATCACATCGATATGAAGACGGGTGATGCTATTCTCCGTTATGATGTTACTCTCATCCATTATTGATGATTCTATTCGAATCATTTAATCTTTTATTATAATAAATGTGTATTTCCCTAACAGACAATTCGATCACCAGGGCCAGCTTCTCTCCTATTACATATTTGGGGGTGGGGTTTATAAAACTTATGGAGTTTTGAGTTATAGAAAGATAGATACTCGTGTTTTCCTAAATTCCAGCACACATTCCCATAATAATATAAACTAAGCTGTATATATTTTTATTGGCCTGTACAACGAACAAATAATAAACATATATATATATATATATATATATATATATATATATATATATATATATATATATATATATTTAGATGGTGACAAGTGCTAATGCAAAAGCAATCTAAATTTTCAGATTTATGGTAAAAGGGTTATATATACAAAACTGATGGAGGGGCTAATTAACTCTACTAATGAAGATAGTTTGCCATTTAACATTTTCTCATAACTAATATACCTTTGCCATGGAAAAAGGGAATATTTTTCATCAAGGGTAGAATGTTCTAATCAATTCATAAAGGTCATGTAAAATAATAATAATAATATATTACACGAAAAAGGGTCAAATTAATATTGGAGAGATATTTCAACGTTGCAGCTAAACTAACTTTGAACCTCTCGAGTCATGGGACTACATGCACCCAACTTATAAAGAAAGCTTCTTTCCGCAACCCCGAAGACGACTGACTCGGTACAACAACAAAAAAAACCGGGAATGGCGAAGGCAGTGCTTCTGATTCTCCTCAGTGCGTATGTAATTACGGAAATGCCACAGGCTAGCTGGGCGAATCGCCCGGAGGAAGCACCCAAGGAGAAGGTGACGAATCTTCAGTTCTATTTCCACGACACGTTGAGCGGCAAGAACCCCACCGCCGTCAGGGTGGCTCAGGCCCCCGACTCCGACAAATCCCCCACCCTCTTCGGCGCCACTTTCATGGTCGACGACCCTCTCACTGAGACCCCCGATCCCAACTCCAGGCTCCTCGGCCGCGCCCAGGGCCTCTACGGTTCCTCGGGTAAACAGGAGATAGGTCTGATCATGGCTATGAGCTTCTGCTTCGTCGACGGTCCGTACAAGGACAGCACCATAAGCTTGGTTGGGAAGAACCCGGCGATGAACCCGGTTCGGGAAATGCCCATCGTCGGCGGCACTGGTTTATTCCGAATGGCTCGTGGGTACGCCATCGCCCAAACCCACTGGTTAGATCCCACCACCGGCGACGCCATCGTCGGCTATAACGTTACCGTTTTTCAGTAGATCGCCTGTTCCCGTTTGACGTGATTTTCACTATTGCTACCTGACTTGTACTCATCCGCTTGCATCATCATCACCATTAGAATTACACCTTGGTCGCGTTTACTAAAAATAGATTTATGGGCTTGATAATGGGCCTAAATAATATCTGAATATAAGCCCAATTTAGGGAAAACACGTGTTCGAACCGATCCGACGGCGGAGAAAGCCGCAGATGCGATCCCACCGGCTCTGGTCGACAAACATCTCACCGGTGCTATTACTAGGAGGATGAACCAGGGGAGAGGTCTCCTCGCATGGCGGATTCTTCCTCCAATGCCAATGAAAGGAAAGGGTAATATTCGGACATGACAGAGTCATCCTGTGAAGAAAGGGTAATAATCCTACCAGGAATACGAAAAAGAAACACACACACGTACGCGTAAATCAAATGTGATTGGAGAAGAATAATATAATTTTGACGTGGGAGACAACAGAGACAAAAGGAAAGGAGAGAGAGAGAGAGAGCAATGCAGATACAAGTGGACCAACCAGAAGCGAGCAATCATCTCTCCATCAATCAATCAAATACAATCCAACCAAATCATTTTCATCACCAACCAATCCATCCCCACAAATCAAAAGATACATAAGAAATTATGCATTTTTATTACTTTTAACCAAAGGAACATCATTATTGTTATCATTAAACAATGTCTAATTACGTATATACTCTTAATATCATTTACTTCAACAAAAGCGGATTTCTCTATCACTGGAAAAAACCTTCCTTCTGCAACAAATACCCCACAAACATAACAGAACCTCCTTCAGTTTGTTTTTACTTTGTGTATTTTTATATCTATCAGCGACTTCGCTCCCTCATTGGAAGAGAATGGGATCTCACGTCTCGAAGCAGCTTCAGCGACGAAAAGCCATCTCCACCGAGAAAAAGACCCTCTCCGATCTCCAGAATTCCTGCGGCTGTGATTTCCCTGGCTGCGACTACAAGCCCTCCGATCTCAAAAGTTGGATGACGGGCATCGGCCCCGACAAGCTCCACTTCCACAACATCGTCTGGCCTGGAACCCATGACTCCGCCACCAACAAGATCGGGATTCCATTCGTCTCCCGCCCTTTCGCACAGTGCCAGTCCCTCTCAATCTACGGTCAGCTGGTGGCCGGCGCTCGCGTCCTCGACATCCGCGTCCAGCAGGACCGCCTTGTCTGCCACGGCATCCTCACCACCTACAGCGTCGATGTCGTCCTGAAAGACCTCAAGCGTTTCCTGTCCGAAACACCGTCCGAGGTTGTGATCCTTGAGATCAGAACCGAGTTTGGACACGAAGACCCTCCTGAGTTCGACAAGTACCTGGTGGAGCAGCTGGGTGAGTACCTCATCCACCAGGACGATCACGTGTTCAACAAGACAGTCGCCGAACTACTGCCCAAGAGAGTGATCTGCATTTGGAAACCGCGGAAATCGCCTCAGCCTAAACACGGGGACCAACTGTGGAGCGCAGGCTACCTGAAAGACAACTGGATCGACACTGATCTCCCTTCCACCAAATTCGAGAGCAATCTGAAGCATCTGAGCCAGCAGCCACCCGTTTGTTCCAGGAAATTCTTCTATCGGGTGGAGAATACGGTCACACCCCAGGCAGATAACCCCGTTTTGTGTGTTAAACCGGTGACTAATCGGATTCACGGCTATGCCAGGCTGTTCATTACTGAGTGTGTCAAAAGAGGATGCGCCGATAAACTTCAGATCTTCTCCACAGACTTCATTGACAGAGATTTTGTAGAAGCCTGCATCGGGCTCACATATGCAAGAGCTGAAAGGAAGGTTTGAGATGTGGCCAGTATCTGCATGGACTTATATCCATCTGTTAAAAAAATCAGAACACGGCTGTGTTACAATTCCTTGTGCATGATTTTTCAATCGTTTTCTTGTGTATGAACAAATGGTGTGAGATTAAATTTCCGCATATTCATATTTATGAGTACGTAAATATCACCTGACGAGATTCTCCATGTCTGAACACTATAAATGAAACCTGAGTTACTGGCAAAATTTGGACTTTAAACTTTCTTCCAGTGACCCAAAAAGCACAGAAAAAAATCCTGCAAATGTTAAATTGGATGTTAATTCTGTATAGACAGGTAACACATACGTGCATATACAACATATGTATATATATGAGCTTGGTAATTTTTTTAAAAAAACAAGGAATTTAATGAATCAAATTGAACAATCGAAAACTTGGGGTGGATCTTTGGGCAAGTCAGGAAAACAAGCACAAGAAACTATAGAAAGCTAACCCGAAAGCGGGCTATCTTTCTGCTGCAACGATCCTTTAAGAAGCAGCGTTCCAGGGATTTGCTGAAACACCTGCATTGGAATTCCCTCAGCTTTACACTGAATCGGTACAGGATGAAAGGGAACAAACATAATCTTCTAGTTGCAAAGTAAATGAATCTTAAACTAACCGAGATGCGGAAAGATAAGTTAGCGGAAGAGACTGGCGAACCAGAGCCATCAAGAGTATGTATTTCATCATGTTCACGGCTGGAAACACTATCCAGATTTCTCACACCATTCTTTAAAATTGAAATGCATTGGTCATTGGATGCAACGATCTGTTAAGAAAGAGAGAGACGAGGATTCTGTTGAACTTAGATGGGGAGAGAGAGAGAGAGAAGAGAATCAAGAACCGATGGCAGGATAGAATGAAACCAGTGATACTCACGTCAACAGAAAATGTAGAAGAGTTTGGTTTACATGAGGCACCGCAGCTCTTGAAGAATTCCTCGATTGATTCCAACACGTGTACTGCACTGTATTGCCTTTTAATTCCCTATAAACACAATTTGGCATGAGAGAAGTTTAATTGGTAAGCAGCATAGATACGTAAAAACAGACACAAGGCTAAGGATTGATTACCTCAAGCATAAAAGAAAAGGTGTGCTTTGCGGATACAGATGGTACAACAATCTTCCTAACAGGGGGCATGAATGACCATGCGAGGCCCCAACGAGATGTTCGGCCTTGCACGAATTCAGTCGTTTTCACAATTGTGGCTCCCACTTCGCGAAGCTTTGACATCAAGATTTTCAGGTTAACTTTCTTCCCCAGCATTGTGGTGTACCACCTAAATTAAAAAAGGAATTTGCAAAGGTAAGTTCCGGCCGATTAAAAAACTGCATCTGAAAGATGTCGGACTAATATAGATCTGTGACCTGAATCTTTGCTTCAATACAACGCTATCCTCGATCATACGGGTTACAAAAGCTTTCTCTCCACCTTCACAAACCATCTCCTCCGGAGTCCCACCACATGAAGTTTTAGGATTAAGACCTGCTTCTTCAAGGGTCTCGAAAAAAGGAGGGTTGCACATACAGAAGTCAAACGTCTCATTTTCCCTGACAACTTCAACAAGTATAGGCGGCCCACTATAGCTCTTGTTGGCACTTGCAGGACAATAAGACATAGATGAGGGTGCCAACTCAGCTTCTTCGGGTCTGGTTCTGTAAGAGTTCATCCCACTCTCTGTATTCTCGGTGTCCAGATCCCTGGACTCATTATCCAAGGAACTCTCTTTATGAATTTCGACCTGTCTGATCTCGATTAAGTCTGAAATATGAGGGGGATTACTTTTGACATTCTTCTCTGCCCATTCTATAGCTACGTCAGTTACATCTGCAACCATAGTGGTACCCATTTGAGGATTTAACATCAACAGGAAAACGAATGAAGCAGAGCACTGCATGAAGACAAAGGGCAAACCTGAACCAACAAAACCCCAGCCGAAAAGAGATGCACCAAGAAGAGGGTAAATGCAATTCGCTCCAGTTCCTATATCGAATCCCCTTATGTCACCTCCATTTCCACCCGGGTTTTGAATAATATTGGACGACAAAAGATGGTCAATCCAATGGATATAGTTCAATCTATTGGGGACAGTTGGGCAGAGCTGGCCATCCGGAATCCACCTATGCAAAGTACGATTACAAACAAAAATCGAGTTTGACAAGTTTATGAGCAGCGAAGTAAGTGAAGATACAATAAAAAATCAGCAATGAAACTCAAAACCCATTGACAGCATCCTCACAGAAATGACGGGTTTCAAGAACAAAAAGAGAACCCTAACAAAAGCACGATAGATGAGACTGAAATTACCAATTGACGCCATGGTCATGAAGGAGGAGGATACGAGTGAGTTCCCTGGTCGCGTTGTAGTCCGCCCAGTCGATCCTGGGTCGAGTGCCGGAGAAGAAAACATAGGGCTTGAAAGAAGGGTAGAGGGACGCTAGCAAGGCGAAATCGGGGGGGCTATCAGAGTACTTGTTTCTCGGGTGGGTTGTGGATCCGGGTCCGGACCTCGCTCTCTTCTTCCCCTTCGGCATCTCTCTCTCCCTTTCTAGGGAATAATCGATAAACCTATTAGGTTCCGCCGGCGAGGAATGTTTCATTCGATTACGAGCGCGGCAGCCAAGGGTGTCAAAATGGTCATGCCGGCCCGAGCTCGACACAAGCAGAGAATTGCGGGCCGGGCCGAACCGGGCCGAAACATATGGGGACTTCAAATCTTGGGCCCGAAATTCGGCCATATAGATTTTTTCGGGACCGGAAAGAACTTTCAAAAAAAATTGACAAACAAAAAATAAACTATAAAAATACAAAATAAAAATCATAAAAAAAATTTTAATATTTAAGAAAAAATAAAACTCAAAAATTTTAAATTTTTATATAATAATAAAATTTATTTAAATATAAAATTATTATATTTTTTAATCCTAATAAATATTCAATACTAATGATAGTATAATTTTATATACATTATATTATTAAAATATTATACTTAAATTATTTAATATTAATTAAGTTTTTCATATTTGTATAATTTTCTATTATATATATATGATTTAGTGAATGAATATATTTATATATTTATGTATATATGTGTGTATATATATATTTATATTATGTAATTAAAATTTTATCAAGATCGATGGTTGGGTCGGTCCGATCCGGTCTAGATCCGCATTTCACAGGTCGATCCGGCTCGGTTTGGCCCGATGAATGGTCGAGCTCCAATTATTCAGGGCCAAACACATTAATTTTCGGGTCGGATTCAAACCGGATAACAGACCTCGGTTTTTGACACCTATAGCGGCAACCTCTAACATACCCAGAGTCTTTATAAAATTGATTTTGTATAATAAAATTGAGAATTGAAAATTGAAATAGTTATCAATAAATTTAATATTATAAAAGTAAAAAATAACTAAAAATGAGATACCAGATAATAAATAATAAATTTTATATTATATAATCATGTCATTTACAGAATTTGCAATCAATCCTATTTATAAATTTGCAATCACAACTAATAGTGTATTTGAATCAAAATCCTATTTGTTCGCGATCAATTCTATTTATAAATTTGCAATCACAACTAATAACATTGTGCATCATATTTCCTAAAAAAATTGAAAGAACCACTTTAACTTCTTTAACTTCTTTCATATACACACGCACGTATACAATAAAATCTTACCTTGATTACTTGTTCAAGCGTTGTGGATTGAAAAGTCTCAATCTTTTGGCACAGTTCGAACATAAAAGTAACTGAAGTAGGATTTTTGGAGTTGATCTTCCTTCTTCCACATAAGTTTATCTACTTTTTTAGGATTTTCTCCACTTCTTCGATCTAATCAATTGAAAAGAAAATTCGTAAGATTTATTTTATATATATATATAAGAAATTAATCTCCTTTTTTCTTCTTTTTTTTTTACATGAAAGTAGAAAATAGATCACTGATATTATTAGTTCTTTAAATATGATTCTTTATTACAAATATTATTAGTTCTATAAATATAATTTCAAATTTCTGTAAATATAATTCAAATATTATTAGTTCTGTAAATATGATTGCAAACTTCTTTAAATATGATTCAATATTATTATAATTACTTTTGGGGAAGAAGAAAACGTAGAAAAAAAATAAGAACAACTTGAAAAAACTTTCTTCTATTTTATTTGCACAGAAAATATACGATGTTTTACATATAGTACAAATAAATGTCTAAATTTGTACACACGCATATTTACAATAAAATGTATATATGTCTAAAGTGTACGGTGTTTTATATCTAGAACAACTGGAAAGATAATTTATTTCATATACACGTGCATATATATAATAAAATCTTACCTTGGTTACTTGTTCAAGCGTCGTGGATTAAAGAGTCTCAATTTTTTGGCACAGTTCGAACATTTGTCTTGAGTAAGCGTAGTTTAAACAAGATCTTTGGAGCTGATAAGATTTATTATATATATATATGCATATACATATATATAGGAAATTAATTTGTTTCTTTTTTCTTTTTTATAGAATAGTAAAAAATAGATCACAAATATTATTAGAACTGTAAATATGATTCAAATATTATTATAATTACTTGCGGAGAAGAAGAAAACATAGAAAAAAATAAGAACAACTTGAAAAAACATTGTACGTTACTTTATATATACTATAAGTAGATGTCTAAATTTGTACAATAAACTAAAAAAATAGAAAGGTTGTGAACGAATTATTGATATATCGGATTAACCATATTTGTACTGAAAACAAATGAAATGATGATGGATTGAAGGAAGAAATGAAAGAGAGAATTTACAGAGGAAGAAGGGTCAGGTGTCTCTCGATCATGTTAATATTGATTTTCTTTTTTATGTCAATTTCAATTGAAAAGAAAACTAGTAATATATATATATATATATAAGTTAATTGCCTTTCTTCTCTCTCAATTCCTGGGTATTATCCCTATTGATAGTCAAAATTAAAAATCTATATATAATAGTATTATTTATATAATAATTTTGCATTATATAATCATGTCATTTATAGAAGGAAAAATAAAAAAAATACTCAAATTTTAAATTTTGACAAAAAAACACTAATTTTTTTTTATTTTATCAAATAAACATTATATTTTTTAAATTTGACAAAACAAATACTTAACTCTTCTACGATTGACAAAATACAAAAAAATGGCTGACGTGGCACAAAGAGATGTAAACACGTCAGATTATTTTGTTTTTTTTTTTTTACAATCGAAAAAAGTTCATGTATTTTTTTGGATCACTAAAAAAATTTAGTGTTTTTTTGATAATTGCATAAAAATTCATGTATTTTTTGGATCATTTAAAAAGTTCAGTGTTTTTTTAAATTTTTCTTAAAATTTAATGTTTATTTGACAACAAATAAAGTTCATTATTTTTTGTCAAAATTAAAAAGTTCAGTGTTTTTTTTTTTTGAGATTTTTCCTTTATAGAATCAGAAGCTTGCTATCAATCCAACCACAGTTTTGCAATCACAACTAATAATATTTGAACCATAATTCTATTTGCTTGCAATCAATCCTATTTACAAATTTGTAATCACAGCTAATAATATTGTGCATCATATTTTCTGCAAAAAAACGAAAGAATCACATTAATTTCTTTTATACATATGTACACACACATATATATATATATATATATATATATATATATATATAATAAATTCTTATCTTGATTACTTGTTTAAGCGTCGTGGATTGAAGAGTTTTAATTTTTTGGCACAGTTCGAACACATGTGTTGAGTAAGAGTATCTGAAACACAATCTTTGAAGTTGATCTTCCTTCTTCCGCGGAAGTTTATCTGCTTCATTTAGGACCTTCTTCACTTCCTCGATCCAATCAATTGAAAAGAAAACTGTTGAGATTTATTACATGTACATAGAGGAAATTAATCTACTTTGTTCTTTTCTTTTTCTTTTATAGATAAATAAAAAATAGATCGCTAATATTATTAGTTGTATAAATATGATTACAAACTTCTTTAAATATGATTCAAATATTATTACAATTACTTGTGGAAAAAAAGAAAATGTAGAAAAAAATAAGAACAATTAAAAAAACTCTCTTCTATTTTATTTGCACATATTATGGTAATGCAGATAGATATCTAAATTTGTACAATAAACTAAAAATAAAAGAAAAAGGTCGTAAACGATTTATTGGTAGATTGGATTAACCATATATGTATTTAGGAGAAATGAAATGAGGATAGGTTGAAGGAAGATATAAAAGGGAGAATTTATAGAGGAATAAAGCTTATGTGTCTCTCGATCATGTTGATGTTGATTTTTTTTTATGTTAACTTCAATTGAAAAAAATTGGTAAGATTTATTATTTATATATACGTGTATACATATATAATTATATATAGGAAATTAATTTGTTTTTTGTTTTCTTTTATTTTTAACAGGAATAGATCTCTAATAATATTAGTTTTGTAAATATGATCCGATATTGCAAAAAAAAATTAGTTATATAAATATGATTGCAAAATTCTGTAAATATGATTCAAATATTGTTAGTTCTGTAAATATGATAGCAAACTTCTATAAATATGATTGAAATATTATTATAATTACTTGTGGAGGAAGAAAACATAGAAAAAAGATAAGAACAACTTGAAAAAAATTCTTTTCTATTTTATTTGTATAGAAAATGTATGGTGTTTTATATATGATACAAGTATATACCTAAATTTGTACAATAAAATAAAAAAATAGAAAGATCGTGAACGATTTATTGGTAGATCGGATTAACCATATTTGTAATGAGAAGAAATGAAATGAGGGTGGATTGAAGGAAGAAATGAAAGGGAGAATTTATAGAAGAAGAAGGTTCATGTACCTCTCGATCATGTTGATGTTGATTTTCTTTTTGATGTCAGACTATGACACGAGTCTACCCTGTCTTCCTCTCCTCTTTTTGTACCTTCTCAACCCGGTCAAACATGATTTCTTTGAGAATTTTTTCAGTTATCTCCAACGTTTCGAGATTCTTATCTTCCGAAGTGATAAAACATCCCATTTTAGAAATCGTTGTAACGAATAAAATATCTAATTTATATTTAGAATGAAAATTTTATACCATTTGTAAGTTCGTTATAGTTCAATTTTATATTAAATAATCATATTATCAATTCTCTATCACACGAGGAGATTTTTTAATAAATTTAGCATGATCCAATAAAACAATCAAATGTTTATATTCATTTTAATTTAATGTCCATATAAAATAGAAATGCAATGAATATCAATAGTTTTCAATGTTTTAATACCTTTTTTTTTTATTTGATCTCTAGATAAAAATATTCAATTTTTAATAAAATGATTTAATGTTCAATGATTCTGTTTTATATTAAATAATTATATTATCAATTCACGAGCATGATTACAATCGACATTGAAATCTATATATAATAGTATCACTAGGATGCAATGCTAAAGAATCCCTATTATTACAAGGCTATTTTTTAATAAAATATAACATTATTACAATATACCCGTTATTATATATAGCATTATTATTTCAAAATCTATATATAATAGCATTGTAAGAACGTGCAAACCCCTTGTAATAATATAGATTTTTAACAACGGTTTGGTTTTTAAATATAACTATTTTTAATATTGTCCCCGGTCGACTTAAATATAGCATTATTGAGAATAGTCTTAAACATGACATTGTAATTATTTTTAAGAAGATAAGAACTGACTTGAAATTTTTTTGGGAAAACTCTCTTATATTTCATATTTTGTATTCTGCATAAAGGTTCATAAATCTGCACAATAATGTGATATTTGGTCATTTTCACACGCTTGTCTTTTGCAGATACAACACATTAAAACTCAAAACCTCAAGCGAGATTTGGTTCACTATGCCAATCAATCTCAACTTTCAAGCACCGCTAGCTCAACCACTGAAATTGGTACGTAAGAAGTTAACATATATATGGTCGAGGAAAATTGCACAAAACATGTACAGTACTCAAGTAGGTTCATAAATCCAGAACCACCTATTCCGAGCTGGTATCAATAGACCGACCGTTGAATTGAATTCATGACAGGAGGCAGAGTTCACGTTAACACAAGAAAAATCTCTAGTTTGCCTCCTAATTACAGGCAATATGGTTGAACCAAGAAACAAATATATAATATTATTATAGCTTGAAAATACACACAACATCTCCTTCTTCCTCTCCCTGTCCTTCGATATTTGATCCCTCTTTCACGATCACTTTATTAGATTACAAGAATAAAGAGAAGCAAGATTCTTCCCGTAAACGAACCTTAAACCCATGTAACGTAGAACTATATAGATGCAGGCACACTGACTATAATATATACGCAGGTAAGAATCTCAAGGGTGGGAAGGGAATGGCGGCAAGGGAGGCCATTTTCCGAACTTGGGGTGGGGGAAAAATTTAGGAGGGAAAGGAGGACACGGCTTCTTGGGGATCGTAATCGGCGGAGGAAGCACCACCGGAGGACACGGCTTCTTCGGTATCACTGGCGGCGGCTCGTACACTGGAACCGGCGGAGGAACCTCTTTTTTCGGAGGGCACGGCTTCTTCACCGGCGGAGGCTTGTAGACAGGCACCGGAGGAGGAACCTCTTTCTTAGGCGGCTTCGGAGGGCACGGCTTCTTCACCGGCGGGGGCTTGTAGACAGGCACCGGAGGAGGAACCTCTTTCTTCGGAGGGCACGGCTTCTTCACCGGCGGAGGCTTGTAGACAGGCACCGGAGGAGGAACCTCTTTCTTAGGCGGGCACGGCTTCTTCACCGGCGGGGGTTTGTAGACAGGCACCGGCGGCGGAATAACCTTCTTCGGCGGTTTCGGGGGGCACGGCTTCTTCACTGGAGGCTTGTAGATGGGAACAGGCGGAGGAATCTCCTTCTTCGGCGGTGGTTCGTAGACGGGAACGGGCGGAGGGATCTCCTTCTTGGGCGGTGGTTCGTAGACGGGAACAGGCGGAGGGATCTCCTTCTTAGGCGGTGGTTCGTAGACGGGAACGGGCGGAGGGATCTCCTTCTTAGGCGGTGGCTCATAGACGGGGTTGGAGGGTGGAGGGCAAGGGAAAGGGAAAAGGTGGTGGAAGCCTTTGATGGGATGAGGCCATGGGAACTTTGGGAAATGCCAGAAGAACTTCGAAGCGCATGTTTCCGGTGAAAATTTTAGGTTTTGTTTAAGACCCAGAATGTGTTTGTCGTCTGATTTCGATAAAAACACGACCTTGGAGGACTGGAGGCCATCGTGGGCTGGGCATGGAGTCGCAGAGGCACTGTGGAGCTGAGCGTAGCATTCTTCCTTTAGGGTTCCGTCGTCTCTCACTATGTCATCATGTTTCACAGAGACGGTGAACTTCCCGTCGCCGTCGAGTTTTCCGGCTCCTCTGGTGACGAAATGGCCTTTCTCGGCTTCGCACTCTATGGTCACTCCAAGTCCTGTACGGAATCGGTTAAATACTTGTGTGTTGTAAAAGATGGATCCTATGTGTGAAATTTCAGTCAAAAGTCACTGGAGCTTGTACAGTGAGGTACATAACACAATGAAGGGGTACCTGAGAAAACATTGGGAGCGTTGGGAATAGAACTCTGGGCATGGCCGACAACCTGGACAAGACGGCCGTGGCAGAGGACAGAAGAACTGAGCACTGACAGGAGGAACCACACCACCACATGAGTTCCTGGGATCCTCATCGGGATTCTCACCCCCACCCTCTTCTCTGACACAATGTGTTTTTTCTTTTAATGATAGGAAAGAGGAGAAGGGATATGATAAGTGCAGTGAGACTGACTCTCCTTTATATAATGGAGGTGCGATGCTTTAGCTCTATTTAATTATAAGCCCTTAATCTTTCTCCTTTCATTTTCGTTCGGACAACTTTGGATGCATGCATGTTATATAACCTTGGCGTAAAAATCGTCGTAATTAATATTAACAGAGAGAAGAGGAATTCTAATTCATATTTACGAGAATTAAAGGGAATCACGTGACGGTCGGAGGGAAACTTAAATTTCCGTGTCCCTCCCCAATTATTATACCTTCTTACTCGTGGTTTAGCCCATCCATGCATTGATTGCGTCATTGTCTCTTCATCACATCCACTTCCGTAAACATTAAAATGGTTCAAAACGATATAGGAATCCGATTGAATGCCACTCCAATTAGTTGGAAATGCGTTCGGGTTCCAACTTGGATATTTATCGACTGCCCTCCATAAACCATCTTCACACACACATATATACTGGAATGGACTGTAAAAATGTCTTTGTATTCGATACATATATGTGTGTGTATAGAGAGAGAGAGAGAGAGAGAGAGAGAGAGAGAGAGAGAGAGAGAGAGAGAGAGAGATTAAAGTCTAGGAAAGAATTGGTTGGGCAGCAGAAGTATAACACCCAAGCAAGGCCCATGTTATTAAAAAGTAGCCAGCTCAAAAGCCGACTCTTTTTGTTTTTGTTTTGTCTGGGTTTAAATTTCAAGTAAGATATATAGGAGAAGGTTATGATAATCTCTAACCATATATATGAAAATGTTGTTGAAACAGATTTCATGTGATTGCAGCCAGTGTTATATGATGATAGGTTTGACGATACAGCGAGTAGCAAAACTATGTATAGATGATTAGAAAGAGGTGAAAGTGGGATAAGTTGGACGGAAGAATCAACTCAAGGTACGCCTGTTCCAATCAAAATGGCATCTCTCTCTCTTCTTATGGGCATGAAGCAACTGTCTAATTAAATACCGTCTCCATAAAATAACGAAGCTAACTCAGCGGCGAGTGATTGCCATCTGATGCGATGTGACGAAATGACATGTTCGAATTTCGCTGCGTCAGGATTGGATTCGTTTGATTGCCGACAAATGGCGCATTTAATTTGGACAGATCATATATCTATCCATGCATATGGTGAAAGCGTTACGCTAGGTGGTGGTTGGATGGGGTAGGTGGCTGATGGTAGTATCGGACTTCCATATTTACCAACATTCACATTCGTCCAAAAACCTACGATCGACATAATGTAAAACGAGATGTTATTTACACCCCCCACGCTTTTTGACTTGACCCCATCATCAAAGACTGACACAACACTGAGTTTAGGATCTGTTGTTATTCTCTCTTCTTTGCAGGACAAATATTCACCTTTCTATAGCCACCAAAACCACCTACTTCTTTTAAGTTGGAGAAAACTGTCTACTTCTTCCTCATCACGGAAAGACCAGAGAGTTAGTTCCAGGGACAAAACTCATGCCGTTCCACGGTTAAGAATATCTATATAAAATAACCCCCTCCAAAAAAAAAAATGTTTTTGTTTTTCTTTGACCCTAATTTCGGCACAACACAAGCTCTTCCAAATGCCACCAACGAGGCTTATTTAGTTTTTCTTCTTCTTGGATTTTCCAGAGGACGATTTGGCGAGAGTGGTTCCCTGTAACACAATCATGTCAAAAGAGAGAGAACCCCTGGTTTTTTATGAGTAGGTACGAAAACAGAACGGAAGACAGTACCTCAAGCCATTCATCCAGCGAAGCATCCACGCTCCTCGTTCCCACTTCAACCTTTGCCACCTTCTTGGTTTTCTGGTAAACAGACAAGTAATTACTCTCGAGGATGATCAGGCCGAGTCTGATGCATTGGTCTACCCAAGAGTGCATCTGGTCCAAAAATTCCAATACTGTCTCGAAAAATATGTCTAGGGGCTTTCAATGATTGCCGGATGTGGATGTGGTGTAGGATATACAGCTAATTGATTGGTAATTCTTACTTGGTAACCCAGTAAGCAAAATTATGTGTACTTTTCATACACAAAAATGTTATTATTTTCAGTTAATAGCACTCTGTGGTCGGTCTTAATCCCTATTTTAGATGGCATGGTGACTAGAATGGACAACTGTACCTTGGTGAGACGCTGTGCTTGACTATACACCCACAGGCCGAGGAGGAGAAGTAGAGCAATGCCGAGGGTTACAAGGAAGACAGACTCGCCGCTGAGGAGACTGCCTGATTCAACAACCTCGATGGTACCGTTGTAGAAGACACTCTGGTAAGGCTGTTCATCTATCTCATAGATAATTGTCCCCACAAGATCAAAAGTTCCAGGCTGCATGTGATGCACAAGTATTATGTGCAGATGTTGTGGTTATCCCTATTATAGAGTTGCTTTCAAAATGAATAGAGATAATGCAACGTGTATCATGTAATATATACCTGCAGAAACTTGCTGACTGCAAAAATGTACGGGAAAGTAGCCTGAACAGATGTTGGGATGGATGCGTTGTTGAAGCTCTGCAAAAGCCAAACAAACATGGGGATTCTTAATAGAATGCGACAACATGACCAAAGTACCGTAAGAAACACATAAGTTGAACCTGTACGCAAAGCAGTATTCAAATGACTAACTAACAAACCAAACGCTGTTGATGTAACCTAGAAACCTCTTTTCTAGTGTCTCAGCTTGTGATCCACACAAGCTGTGAATCAACTGTACACTTTTACAAGAATTGAGCAACCTTATTCTATTTTCTTTGCTAAAAAGAGTGATGCAGGGGAGAACTTACCAGCATGGTTAGATTCTGAACCAGTAATTGGTGATCAAACGGAAGGTGAAGGCTGGCCTTGACTCCAATAACACCAACGGCTGACTGGCCTATTATTTGAAACAACAGGTATGAGTCAGATTTTTCTGCCAAAAGTGAATCTAAACGCATGCAGGTAAATAGCTAAGATGGATTTAATTACCATCATTTTTAAGACCAACAAGAAGTTCAGTCTCCTCCCCAGCTGGAACTACTGCACAAAAAAAGGGAAAAAAACTCAAACACAACATTCAAAATTCCCATGGTCACTAAAAAGTGCAGACAAACATGCGGAAAATGTCGATTAGTAAATCCTTACGTTTTGCACTGTTTTTTGGGAAGACACAAACTGTTTCAATTCCAGGGGCCGGGCTCAAGGCCACATCAGCAACATCCTGCTCATCATCCCCAACAACCCCAACTTCACCGCTTTCTACGACAGTTTCTTCACCAGTTTTGGCTGCGTCCTCGGAGTTCGATTGACATCTAGCCACTGATAGAAAAGGGAATACAACTCATTAAGACATGACCAAAATGAATTTCTTACTCCAAGAAAGGAGCTGCAAAACACAGCGTTTATGAGTAGATTATCTAAAACCGATAGTTAAAAAGATACTTCAACCACTTTGGTGGAATCAAAGAGCAGAAACATTTACATGCTCCAATCGAGTCAGCCATAAAACAGAAATTCTCTGTGATGAGTTTCTGTTAACGTTAAGCGTTTCCTTAACTCTTCACTCTTCAGAGAGCTATATCCCAACACAAGGAGGAACCTTCACCTCCAAAGGTGGTCGCTAAGCACTTCGGAAAGTCTATAATTTGAACCTTTTACTGTTCTCACCAAACAAAGACGATCTCGAACGCATTGAAAAGGCAGTTCTCGAACAAAATTGAAACACATACACACGGATGCAATTGACGAATCTATTAACGAGTCAACAGGCGAATTGAAGAATCTATAACTCTACATTCGATCTCCATACAAGTGGTGCAGCGTATGTGAAAACAGGAAAGCAATCGAAGAATACTCTCTTTCTAAACCATAATGTTTGATGGCGCAACATCACGTGAAATCAATCTCAACGCAATTCGATCTCAAAATACGATCGAACTCAAAAGGGCAAAACATGCATGCGTGCGCGAGATCATAAACTACGAATCGAACGCCATTGCCTAGAAGAAAAAACGGATCTAGATCTAGATTACGGAGAAAAAGACAGAGAAGAAAAAGAGAAAAAGAGGTGGAAACCTTGGAGCAGAGGAGACGCAAGGAGAAGAAGGGCGAGGAACAAAACCCTAAGAGTCCTCATCGCCGCAGACGCCGAGTGCAGACTGATCAGAGCTTGAGCTTCGGGATTGTGGTCAATAAAATTTGCGGAGAGGGAAAATTGTCTCCGATGGTGTATTTATGGTTGCTGTGTTCAGAATTTGGCACATTGTGGAAAAATAAAAATCACGGAAATAATAGCTGAATATTGGAAATCAGAACAAAAGATCCTAACAGGACACAACAACAACAACAGAGCAAGCTTTGGATCCGTGTCCTGAAACGACACCGTAGTCGTGTTTTACAGTGAATCTTGATTTTATTACTTAGCAAGCAATTAATACAGCGATCTCACAAAAATCAGATGATTGACATTATTATTTTTTTTACTAAAATCACACGATTGAATACATATCTTTGACGCAACAACTAACATTATTATCAGCAAAAAAGTAACTGTTTTCCCCCTTTATTCAGGCTTTTTTTTTTCCTTTCAATTTGTTATATAGAATGAAAAGTAAGTAAAAAATCACAACAATTTTATGAAATTATAAAGAGAAAATCTTAAAAAGATATCTACTTGTCAATTTTTACAAAATAAAATCTAAATTTTATTTTTTATCAAATAAAATCATAACTTGATTTTTAAATTATAAATATAAATTTTATAATAGTTATCATTTAAATCGATATTACAAATTTCGAATTTATTTTTTTTATTGAAAATAAAAATTTATATTTTAATTAATATATTTTATTAAAATTGAGAAGTTTGTATTTTTTTTTGGAATTTTACCAATTATAAAAGAGGAAAGTCTAAATTTAGAAGACAAGTGCTATAATAGACTAGAATAGATTGACAAAGGAACGAGGGTGGTGGGTAAGTAGTAGACGGAAAAAAAATACAAATAATATCACGAACACTCCACTACCACACCATGTAATCTTATATGTTATATAGTCAGAAGCATGTTCGGCCATTACAGACAAAAAGATCAGTAGGTGTCTGAAGCCAATCAATCGCCGTGGATGGTGTACCGTTCCCACTTCTTTGTTGGGTCGTATATCTGTCCCAAAAACAAAAAACGACGTCAGTGGATGAAATTATCATAGAAGGAGACTAGAGGTTGTGTTTCCGACTGGTATTCGGCATGCCATGGTTAAGAATCGTGTTTAGAATCAGATGTATGTATACCAACACCATTGGGGGTCCCTGGAGGATCAGAAAATGTTTTCAATGCGAATTTCGGATTTACCTCCCATCTGGAAGCAGGGAATATATGCTTGTTCTTCTCGTACCAGTGTCTCTCAACCACTTTTCCGGCATGCGACTGTGCCAAAATATACCCAATATCAGTACAAGCCACAACAGTACCAATGCTGGAGACGATGGATGTTTGTAGTTTTATTTACATGCATATGTTTCCCCCTCCCTAATCTACCTTGACATTTACAGTTGTTTGTGGGTTTCTGGAGCAACTGAATAAAAGAAAAAGGATCAAGGAATCACCTCATCCTTCTCGATTGTTGCATCCGCAATCGTTCTTACGTCTTCATGCACATCGAAATGGAAAAGCTGAAAACAAAACACAGCACATGACATTGTCAACAACTGCTCTAAGTTAAAAGTGTCAAGTCTTTATGGAATAGAACTTCCCGGAATAAATGAATCCAGAGACGGGTAATTAAACATACCGGTCCACTCTTCCCCCTGGCTTTGTTGATGATCAACTCATAGAAACTGTGTTGCTGCATTTCCCAGAATACAGGAACATGCTCGGTTATCACATACACGGGAAAGAATAATTTAAAAAAAATCGCAACGTTAAAGCCTTCTCACATGGGGTATGATAAGATCTTCCTTCACATAAAGCAAATTCTCAACTGAAGCTGTTCGAATCTCTCGAAACTCCGGAGCAAGTTGCTGTTGTACAGCTCGGAGGAAATCCCCAATAGTGTCACCCTTCCGGACCTGCAACAAGGCTATATTTTGTCAGTACAAGATGCTAAGGAGAGGGATTTAAAGCTTACACAACCGAACAAAATTTTGGCCTATACTTGCCTGAATTACTCGTCTATGGCCGGTTCCATCCCAGTAACTGTAAGTAATCTCGAGAGGCTCATCTAAAATACAGACAGGAAACCAAAAATAAAAAATCAATAGAATTACTAAATAATGTTTCCTGTGGAACATCATCATTCAGAAGTGACCGAAACGTGGACTACTTTTGATCTGCTCCTGCTCACGAAGCCATTGCTTCTTCAGCCTTTCCCGTTCAGCTTGTTCCTCCGCCTCCCGCTCACTGAAACAGCGACCTCAAAACACCAGATCTAAAGTTAAGATTTACTCCCGTGACAATCTATGAACTCAAAGACAGAGAGAGTGAGAGATTAAACACCTGTCAGGAAGGAAACTAGTTTCTACGGTTGGATCCTTGCCTAGTTTTCCATGACGGAGGTTTGCTGCTTCAGAATCTTCTGCATAAATAGCGCGCTCAGCAGATGTCACCACATAAGGAATTTGAGAAGTGCGACACATTGAAATTTGTCAGAAATTTGCACGAACACATGCTATTTACGATTCAAAATACCAATAATTAACAAATTGACTTCTATGGTATAACTGACATATCTGTACCCCTGTATGACGAGTATTATTATTTACTCTACATGACAACAGTGCTAGTTTTATGAAGGGTACCGCTATAATTCATCTCTAATTCAGAAAACAGATGTTCTGCAATATTCCCATTCATCAATCAAGATAGAACCTTTGAAAATTCCAATCAGGAACAACGATTTTCATCAAAAGGGTTCCCACATTCCAAATAAACAAATCAATCCACTTACTGTTTTCCCCATCTTCTTCCTCACTGCCATTCTCAAAATCTTCAGCAAAAGACAATCGGGAATGCCCCTTAATCTTTCTCTTCTTTCGCTTCTGCAACTGAAGCTCCTCCTCCCTGTTTTTGGAAATATAGTCGGAGAAGCATCATCCGAAAGTATCACAACAAATAACAAAATGTATGCCTAACAACAAAACTTACTCTTGTTGCAGTTTCTGCAGCTTCTCCTTCTCTTCTTCCTCTATCTTGTTACGAATGTTGACCCTCTACGGATAAGATAGACAATATAAATACAATATTCCAGAAAATTATTAAAGTACCATGCCAAGGTGCAAAATTACCCAATTACCTTCTCGACATATTCCTCTCGTGTAACCAAACCAACAGTTTCCTTCTTGAAAGCAGTCTCCAGAATCTAAGAACAAAACCAAAAAGAAGGACAAGTGCGTTAACAATCAGATAGTTCATCAGATGCAGCGTATGGAATTTGCTATTTTTCAAGGATGAAATCATTTAACTTATTCATCTAACTTGTTCCCCAATTTGTCAACTGAAGTACCGATTAAATCAACATCTGACATCAGTTCCTTTCTTGGCTGCCTCGAAAAATTAGCCATAACTCAATGAATGGTGACGAAGGTGATCATTGAAGTAACCGGAAGTGGCAAAATCAGCTTACAGCTGGTGGGAACATTTCAACCTCATAGAACCTCACCAGGTTAACAAACACGAAAGAAGATAAGTGCACAGGCCCTCGTCTAGTAGTCATTAAACAAATTCAAGGTACCCCTAAAAGATCATATCGGGAATCCAATAAACCAATAAATTCTTTTAATCATAGCCAATAATTCAACATCAGAGCTAGCGGAAGTGCTAAGCTAGTGGTCGCTAGTTATGTTTTAAACCATCGTATGCAGAGAAAGCGAATCAACAAGAGAGAAAACCTAGGAATCAGCCAAGACATCCACAGTCACGAAGAATCTCCGAGGAAAAACCCTAAGAAAGAGGGGTAAGGGAGGGTGAAGGTGGGATACCTCAGAGGAGCTGGTGCCGAATCGGAGGAGACCAGGTTGGCCCTCGGCGGAGGCGGTCTTCGTCTTGAGCTCCTGGATTTTACGGCGCTCCGCTTCTCTCTGCTTCTCCAGCCGCCGTATCCTCACTGCGTCTTGTGCTGTCCCCACGTACCCATCTCCCATTCCCGACATCCTGTCTCCCTGCTTCTCTCTCTCTCTCTCTCTCGCCCTTGCAATCAAATAGGTAAAGAGGGGAAATTGTTGAGACTGACCGCCATGGCTTCGGAGCTTTGACGTGCACAGGGCAAGGCTTTGGGCTGGGATTCGAGCGTTATGGGCCTTTAAGGTAAGTTGGGCTCATACTGGGATCAAATAGGTAAGAAGGCGACCGCCATTGATTTGGGAGCTTTTATTTTACATACATAGAGCAGAGCTTTGGGCTTCTCGCAGTTTATGGGCCTTTAAGGTAAGTTGGGCTCAAGCTAGACATGTCCAAAACTCTGTCGTGAACAAACGGAAATTACGAGTAAGCAAAAAAATTAAATTAGTATTGATATTATGAGTAACGGCTTCATGTTGAGGGGATCATAGCTTCATACTGAAATGGTCAGACTCTGTGGCTTAGAAACCCAAACTGCTCAATGAATCGTGCTCCGACTACAAAACCTGTTCCGAAAACGGCGTCGTTGTGAAACTGAACCGGGACGTCAAAATTTGGGCTAAACCGGACATTCCCAAGGCCCAAGAGAACCTGTCAAACATAACAGATAGTATCTTCTCCATCAAGTTTTTGTCAGTTATCATTTCAGGATCTAAAAGTCTTCAGGCAGCGAGCCATTTCTTCTTCGGTTCCACCGGCTCATCTCCGGCCGGCAAGGTCAGATTTCCCAACATTTTTCTCGTTCGTTCCTTTTCGGCGCCTTCTCCCAATTTCCGCTGGATTTTCCCAGTAAGACGATACGATCAGCGCATCGTGCCTAGACTTTATGATTTTTAAGGTTTTCTTTGAATTTTCCTGATAGGCGAACAATTTGTTCTTCTTTGCATTGTATTGCGTCGTTTTGGGGGAGTGATTATACGGGTTTATGCAGATTTTGATTTTTGTTTTCACCTTTACTGATCGTCTTAGCTCCTCGAAGAGCAAACTTGCAGTTCCTGTTGTCCATTTTCGATTTATACTCGAATTTGTTTTCTTCAGCTTAGGTTACATCTTCATGTTTAGTGTAATCATGAGATTCCCATGTTGCTGGACATACTTTCTTTGGAACAATTCCAGTTTCATTTCTGGGTATTTACGATGTACTGGGTTTATGCATTAGGAGGAGTTTTTCTCTCTGGGTGTTAAATGGTTTTCTCGATTGCGAGACGTTATTGTGTCAAGCTTTGGTGGAGATGATACCTGGCGAAACGGGGTTACAAGTCTCTTTAGCTCCTTAATGAAGTGGAATTTTATGGCATTGATTCGCAAAATATTTGCCTCTGCATCTAACACTGTTCTGTGCTTCTCGTGTTTTGTTCAAACTGTAATGTCAAAACTGAACTTTGAAATTATTATGTTTAAGAAGGGATGGTACTGATTTCTATGTAGGTTACACGATCTTTAGAGGTTGGCTGAGGAAGTGAAACTTGGGGTATTCAAATGGAGAATTTGGAAGACTGGAAGAATCTTGCTGAGCAAAGGCTGCATCAAGGAATCGAATATGTTCAACAAATACCACCGACTCAGCTGTATGCTGCAATTGCAGTTTTGCTGTTAACCACCATTTTGCTCTTATCAAGTAAGCAGTATACAGTTCGTTGTTTTTCCTTTCGTTTTCTCTGATGTTGGCTTTCCGGTGATGTAGGATTTGTCTCTGTAAGGTTTTTTTTAGATTCAGATGAAATTGTTTTGTCGTGTCTTTAACAACTTTTCGCTGTCCTTTTCACTGTACCATTTTAGACTTGATCTTAAGGTTACAATGGAATATCAACTTAATTAGTGTAAAAGTATTCGTCTGTAATATTTCTCGATGTAAATCTATTACTTCGAACATCTACGAAGTGCTGTCCTTGATGATTCATAGAGAAATCTGATTCTTTTGTTATTAATATTCTTAGTTCCTGCTGCCTCTTGTTGTTAATTTCTTAGGTGTTGCTGTCTCTTGCAGTTCGCTGGCTCAGACGTACAAAATCCAATACTGTGCTCCTTTCTGGTCTAAGCGGAAGTGGGAAAACGATTCTCTTTTATCAGGTGAGTATGTCAGCTTAATCTTCAATTGGTTGTAGAATATGCCTTGACTGTCCTCCAAACCTATTTTAGTTTTTGCAAAATCTTCTGAAAGATCTTCGCTGTTGTCCTGCCCATGACGAATGGGCATGTCTAAGGTAATTATGACGAGTTATTTGTTGTTTTGATTTCTATTCTTCTTTATGGCAGCTCCGGGATGGATCTTCCCATCAGGGAACTGTGACATCAATGGAGCCAAATGAAGGCACTTTTGTGTTGCACGGTGAAAACTCAGAGGTAAATATCCCCTTGGGCATGTTTAAAGCTGTCCATGAACCGAAACATGTATAGCAGAAGTTTCTGTTCCAATAAGATATTTATAGATCTAATAAAAATGTGATGCATCGAGTAATTAAGGTCTGACACATGAATATGTTTTGTCATCTGACAGAAAGGCAAAGTGAGGCCTGTTCATCTAGTTGATGTTCCTGGGCATTCTCGACTTCGGCCCAAGCTAGAAGAATTCTTGCCTCAGGCAGCTGCTGTTGTGTTTGTAGTGGACGCTCTGGAGTTCCTTCCAAATTGCCGTGCAGTTTCAGAGTAACTACACAAACAATACTTATGTGTCCCTTGTTTACTAGAAGAAGCGCAACCTTAGAGGTGCTTAATGGTGACTGCTCACTCAAACCGATCTCGTGCCTTGTAGATACTTGTATGATATCCTGACCAATGCCAATGTGGTTAAGAAGAAGATTCCGGTTCTTCTCTGCTGCAACAAGGCGGATAAATTGACTGCCCACACCAAGGAGTTCATCTGCAAGCAGATGGAAAAAGAGATGTACGGCGCCTCTATTTCTCAAATCCTTATGAATTGTTAAATCTTTCGCAGAAAATCCCGAAACCATTATCCTCCTTCCACACGTTTTGCAGTGACAAACTGCGGGCATCGAGAAGTGCAATATCTGCGGCCGATATAGCAAATGACTTCACGCTTGGGATCGCTGGAGAGACGTTTTCTTTTGCGCATTGCCTGAACAAAGTCACGGTAGCGGAGGCATCTGGCTTGACGAGCGAAACGGCCCAGGTTGAACAGTTCATCCGGGAGTACGTGAAACCATAAGCCAAAATGCTGCATTTATAGACTTCTTGGGCCATCCATGGTCTCTGATTTATGTTTGAGAGGAAGTATTTAGTGTACAAGAACGTTGCTCTTTCTGATAGTTTAGTCATTTCTCCTTCCAATTGAGTTGCAAAAGCATTCTGCCTATTTTCATAAAAAATACTCGAATTGGCTGGCTGGCTGGCGTTGGATCCACATAGAACCATGCAAAATGAGTAGCTAACCACACCTGTAAATCTGAACATAAGTCCGTTGGTTTTCTCCTCTTATATAAAAATGAACCATGGATTCCTCAGAAACGGGGTACGGCTACGGATCACATTTCTATAGCCGACAATGTGGAACAAAAAAGAAAAGAAAAAAGAAATGCTTAGTCTAAACCATTCATGGTCAATGACAGTAAAACGTTTCAATGTACAACCGTTTGAGGCTACATGGGTTTACATGAATCCGTGTTCCAAGAATCAAGAGCCAAAAACACAGTAGTCATATGTCCGAGAGACATTTACCGTTGATGAAGTTGATAACCTTAGTGGCCGTCTCCTCGAGTGCAGAGGTCACAGCGGCCAAGTTCTGCAAGAACTCCTCTGCCGTTGGTTTGTCCCCATCCACCAGATCGGTCACCGCCTTTAGGAATATGACTGGCACTTTCAGCAGATCTGCCACATACGCCACTGCTGCTCCCTGACACCGGAAACGAAAATACATTCATGACGCCCAACGGAAAATTTGACGTGATTTTAGTTTTGGATTAACACGCTCTTATGAAATGGAAGAAATCTTTTCCCTTTGGTTTGGCAATTTATTCGGTTACATTACCTCCATGTCCTTTAGCGTAGCATCATTTGCTATGATCAACGATTCATCTTGCGTAGACAGATCCAGAGAGTCACCCGTAGACAACCTGCCAATCTGAAAATACCCATCTTTATTATATGCTTCCGTAATCTTGATAGTATCTCTGAAATTAAGCATTGACTTAATTTAATTCAGACAGAAACAAATTTCAATCCAAGCAAGTTCTCTACACATGATGGTTGAGGCTGAGCATCTACCTAAAAACGTGATATTTGCCCTCAAAGGTGAAGGTCATTGCGAGACATGAAGAATGAGTAGAACAACATTTGAGAATGTTAGTACCTTAAGGTTGAGTTCCTTAAGGAGATTAGGCGTCGAGAATGCTTGACGATGACCAACTCCATACAGATCAAAGACCTATAGAATAAGTGTTCAAGAAGTACAGCTTTGACATCAAACGATCAATAGGAACCTCTACATCGGAGAATAACACAACTAGAAATGTTCATTTTGAAAAATGAACAGAGGGACACTTACTGGGATCGGTATTCTCCTATCATGGAATGTCACGTCAGACACGAGGAACACATCCCCTATGTTGGCTCCTTTAATCTGAATATATTCAATTAATGAGTACTGCAGTCACATCGATTATCAACACACCGAACCAAGTGATTGTTGAACAAGAGAAAGAACGAAAATTTTCAATTCTCAGGGAATTCCAAATCGAATATATTGACCAGCAAAAAAGCTACAGATTCACATCCTGATACTTCCAAATATTAACATTCAAACATACAGAGAGAGATGCGTTAATCATGCATGATGACATGCAACTTTCAGGGAAAATTGGATAGCCTGCACAACTTCACATACCTTAAAACCGCCACAAGTCCCCGCATTGACTATTATGTCTGGTTGCGATGCATGGATAGAAGCATAGGTTATCAGAGAAGCTGGAACAGTTCCTACGCTATCGACCCCTGCAGATATATTTTGTTTCAGCAGGCTGTTTAAGGTATCTGTAGCATGAATGGAGTATCCACTTTCCATCTAACGTGACTGTGTCACATAACATGGCAATCGTTACAGGAGAACATCAAGCAAAAAGCAAAGCACTGATATGAGCTATGTGCTTGAGCCAATGGGATTAGAAACCAAGATTTTACATGACAGAGGACGATCATGTAGAATATGGCCTACGTCCAGCTATGGTGAAATGAATGAGGCATCAAAATTTCACAGGCTAGTGTATTTCTGCAGAATAACCTGCAAAAGCTCTATTTTGCCCAGATAGTTCTATCGAGGTTCATAAAAAAATAGTTACCCCCGATAACAAATTGGAAACCACGAAGACTATTCAAAAAGCTCACAGAAAACACCACACCTAAATCAAATACCGGATGTAGCTTAAATGAGCTTGCCAAGATGATCGAGCAGAGAATACAGACTAGATCAGATGTTTCAGAAAAGACAAAGATTTCACACGCTAATATGGTTTTGTAAATGAACCTGCAAAGTTCTATTTTCAGGAAGAGGCAAGTAAATTTCAGGAATAACCATTATCCACATCCGCATTAAGAGACTGAAAACTTGCCTAAAGCTCCATCTTTTCCTGGGCAAACTACACTGATATGAAGATCTTTGTATGATCCGTGATACCGGACCCAAGGCACTCCTTTTGGGAACCTGCAATGCCATCCATAGAGAAATCGTCACATGCATAAAATCAAAGTTTGGGAGGCACAAATCCATAAGCAAGCCTATAGGCTTTAAAATCTAGAGCTTGAATGGTATGAGCAGCTTCATAGGTCCCCCACTATAATTGTGGCTTAATACTACAAACTCATGCTCCACACTAGATTCAGAAAAGGACAGTTTTCATCGAACGAAAATAACTCGGCCTCTTCGAAATCAATGAGATCCGCCGAAGCAAGGAATGAAAAATATCCGTCGAGATCAAAAACGAAAGCGGAATACGAGAAGGAATAAATAGAGGGAAAAGGAACTCAACGGTGAATCAGTATCTTCGGCGAGTCCGAACTTGTTGACCAGAGGTAAAGCTTCGGCTTGCATAGCTTCAGTTCCATAGAAAAGGCACAAATTACGAAAGATGAAGTAATTCGATCTCGTCGATAAATAAGAAAATCGGAACCTAGGAACACGCGCTGGGAAAAGTTTACAAAGATGGACAAGGAGGAAGAAGGATACCGATGATGAAGACGACGGTGGAGATCGGGCGGCGACTCTCCGATTGAGCAACGTCAGATGATTCGTCGCCGTGAGGAGCCATCCCTCTCAAGGTGATTGGTTCCCAGAGAGAAGGGTAGAAAGGGGAAGAGAATGCAGCCAAATAATAAAAAAGGTGAGATATGCCGTCTTTTAACTCTCATTCTAATGTGTGAAAATGCCATTTTTGTTTTTTTACTCAAAGCATAGAAAAGTGGACACACGAGGTCTGTAATTCTTTTATATATATATACATATATACATTGGGGAGCCAACACTATAATGTTTCGGGTCGGACACCGGATACTGTAACGCCTCACAGCCCAATAGATCAGACGACGACAGCATGAGGACAGCATCGCGGACCAAGGAAAACTTCAAACCCACGCGCATGAGCCTACAACACATACGTGGGTGGTAAACAGCCGTAACTGACATGCGACATGTGAGAATTAAGGATGCGGCAAGGAGTTGAACCCCCGACCTCATGGTTTCCCGCCATGCCTCTTAACCAGCTCACCTGGCCCGAGGTCTATAATTCATTCATATACACATCTTTCATAGCCAAAATTACCTGCTTTTATCTCCTGTGATGGTGTGGATATGGGGCATGAAGCTCTACCATTGTTTTCTTGAATTTTTCCTCTTTCTATCCGAGAAAAGAATTCCATACCCTTTTTGCTAAAAGGAACGTTGCAATTGTTTTCACATGCCTGATCCAAGGCAGTGAAAGGAGGTAAAAGGGGCAACAGCCATTGCCAATTACAAAACACCAAGAGCTCTGAGTAGGGGAACAAAAGGAGAGAGAGAGGGATTCGAACCATCGATAGTTCTTTTAACATGTTCAATATCATTTGATTGAATAGTTGATCCACCTCCTTGTTAATACGTTGTTAGGTAAGTGGACGGAAGAGGTTTGTAATTCATTCATGTACACATTTTTCATAGCCAAAATTACTTGCTTTTATCTCCCCTGATGGTGTGGATATGGGGCATTGCAACTAAAGAGGTTTCGAGAATATGAATATGAGGTTCTGCCATTGTTTTCTTGAATTCTTCCTCTTTCCATCAGAGAAAAGAATTCCATACCCTTTAAGCCAAAAGGCAGTGAAAGGAGGTAAAAGGGGCAACAACCATTGTCAATTATGAAAAACCAAGAGCTCTGAGTATCAGAACATGCCTTTTTTTGGACATAGCAAAGGAGAACAAAAGGAGAGAGAGGGATTCGAACTCTCGATAGTTCTTTTAACATGTTCAATATCATTTGATTGCCGTTGTTAGGCGTTCTATTTTATTTCTCCATTGAGATTCCAGTTAGTATTAGTAAGAGAGATTCTTCCAAATATCATGCGCAATCGGTTTTACATGTAAAGAGTACAATGAAAAAAAGAGTACGCGAGAAGTAGGGGTGTCAATCGGGCCGGCCCAGCCCGATTCGGCCCGAGCCCTCACTCGACCCGGAAGCTTCGGAACTCGGGCTCGAACCGGCCCGATTTTTTTCGAGCCTATATAATTAAGCCCGAAGCCCGGCCCTATGCATTCCGGGTTCGGGTCGGGTCGGGCTGGGCTGGTCCAGCCCGCGGACTTTCTTTTGTAAATGTTATTTTTTTTCTTTTTTTTTTCTTTTTTTTAAAGTTTCGGGCTGGCCTGACTCAAACCCGAAACCCGATTTGAGCTCGACCCAAAAGCCCGATTTTTTCGGGTCAAGAAATTTCGGCCCGAAACCCGCTATTTTTCGAGTTGGGCCTAGCCGGACTTCGGGCCTCAGACCCAAATTGACACCCCTAGCGAGAAGTGGTTCTTCAAGAATCTGAGTTATTCACTTTTATGATTGGTTTTAGTTATTCACTAATATATTTATTTTATTTTTAAACATTTATTATATTTTTTATTAATTTTTTTGCGATTCCAACGGATATCCGTTGGAATCTCGACGTGATTTCAATGACAATCCATTACAAATAGCGTTACAAAATTCCAACGTCAGATTCCAACGGATATCCGTTAATTTTTTTCCAACAGATATCCGTTGAAACTATCGTTGTAAAATTCCAACGGTGATTCCAACGGATTTCCGTGGCTATACGGATATCCGTTCCAATTTATTAACGGGAATGAAAATCTGCCACGGATGTAGCCGTTGGAAATCCGTTGAAAATATGTCACAGATGTGTCCGTTGGAAATCTGTTACCAATTTCCAACGGATAAACCCATTGTAATTCCGTCGAAAATTTCCACGGGTTTCCAACGAAACCAAAATTCCAAAGACGTTTTTTTAATAGATAAATCTGTTGAAAATCCGTTGGAAATCAACATTTCCAACGGATTTTCGATCATTTCTAACGGATTTGTCCATTGGAAATGACCATTTTTTTTTTAGAGGAGGCCATTCTTGAATATTGGGAGGATAATGATTTTGCTCTTGTTAAATATTGTTGACCTTGGTTTGGTTTGTGAATCGAAAGGGATTCGGTATATGTAGATGAGGTTGTGAAAGAAAACTGCGACCCGATGATTAGTGTGTTGGGGTGTTGAGAAGTAGTGAATCTCATACTACATGTTAGCAAAACTAAGCTAATGAAAGATCATATCAGACAAAGGATATCCAAATGGTGCTGTCCACTGAACTGAAAACCCATAATGGTTGTGGGACATTCAAGTCTCGATGTCGTTGTACGGTAGATAGCACATGCTTATGCCGAATCTCTTTCAAAATATTTTTTTTTGGGGACCTGAAGCTCTTCCAGTCAGATATCTTGGTGTTCCGCTGTCTCCAACCAGACTTAGGAAGACCGATTTCCAGCCTTTGATCGACAAGATCAAGGCAAGACTTGGTGCTTGGTCAACCAGGGTGCTATCGTCGGCCGGGAATGTCCAACTCATTATCTCGGTAGTATATGGGTTTGTTAATTCATGGAGTTCAATATTTATATTACCGAAATTCTTGTTAAAGCAGGTTGATAGTCTCTGCTCAAACTTCCTTTGGCAACACAAGCGAGGCACAAACGCAGCTCATAGGGTGTCTTGGAAGGATATCTGTCGTCCTAAATGTGAAGGGGGTCTTGGCCTCTTTCGTTTAGAGGATGCTAACATATGTTTTCGGCTTCGTCTCATATGGATTCTGTTCAGTAACAGAAACTCGATATGGGTTGATTGGACATGGAAGAACACGATTCGTAAGCATGGATTTTGGGATACGCCTGTGACCGCAAACGTTCCTCATCACTTCAGAAGGCTTCTCAAGATGAGAGACTTGGCTCAAACTATGCTGAAAGTGCAGGTGGGAAATCGGAGGCGAGCCTCTTTTTGGTTTGATAATTGGACAGATTTGGGTCGGTTGATTGATTTCGTAGGTGAGCTAGGCCCCAGGCATTTTCGGTTTCCCCGGGAGTCAAGGATTCACGATGCTGCACCGACGGGATCATGGAACCTGCCGCCGGCCCGAAACGACAACCTGCTGCAAATTCAAGTAGGCTTGGCTAGCATTCTTCCGCCATCCGAAGACAAGGGGGACGACATTTTTCTATGGAGGCAGAAGACTGGAGACTTCAAGGCTTGCTTCAGATCTTCCGATACCCGGGCTTTGCTCAGCTGTCGAGGAGAAGAGGTTCAATGGCACATGCTCATGTGGTTCCGTGGGTATATTCCCCGGTATTCCTTCGTCCTATGGCAGGCATTTCAACGTCGGTTGCCTACCTCGGACAGACTTTCAACCTAGGGAATGCATGTGAACACCCTTTGTACCCTCTGCAACCAGGAGCAGGAGTCACACTTGCACTTGTTCTTCACCTGTGCATTCAGTTCAGATATATGGAGACCTACAACAGAGCTATGCTGGCCTTCACCGCCAACCGAGCCAGGCGACTGTCGCCGATGGATGGAGCAACATGCAGGAGAAAGCCACCGAGGACAACCGACAATTATTCGACTCGCAATGCAGATAGTAGTGTATGAGTTATGGCGGGAGCGGAACAACAGAATCTTCCGAGGGAAAGCCAGAACCAGTGGTCAGATACGGGCCAAGTTAGACCGGACTATGCGGAACACATTACTTTCCTGGAAGGTATCACATAGGCAGGCCAGAGACTGCACTTTACTAGAGCATTAGTATTATTTGACTCGTTATAGTTGAGAGTTTCCTTTAAGTTAAGGTTTAGGAGATTGCTATCGAAACGATTACCGCTTGCGCAGGGATTTGTTTACCTTTTGGGATATTTTATAAATGTCACACAAGGGATGTAAATCATAAAATTTTTTGATGAGCAATACAAAGCACCTTTCCAACAAAAAAAGAAGAAGCGGATCTTATGATCTCATGACAGAACATGATAAAGATGAAGGTTGGCAGGGGATCTTATGTGGACGAAACTAAAATGGTTGGCGTAAGCCTATATATCCAGCCAACTGTCATATGCGTGTGCGTATGTCTACAGAAATCCATCCAACTGATGAAGCCGGAGGAAGAGATTTGTGGTTCCAGTGTCGCTCTTGAGACAGCCTTCGTTTCAAGATCTATTAAGGAAATCTGAGGAAGAGTTTGGATTCGATCACCCGATGGGTGCACTCACCATTCCCTGCAGAGAAGAAATCTTTCTCCATCTCATATCTCGCCTCTACTTTTGATTAGTTTTTTTTCTTCTTCTTTTTCTAATGATTTTTCTTCGAGGGAAGAGATCATATGCAAGCAGAATCTCTCCGCGAAAGGGAAAACACAGAACTCTGTATGTAAACAGTCTTTTTCGCTCACGTTTCTGTGAGTTGTAAGATCCAAATTCCAAACCTTTGCACAAACATAATCAAACTCCTGCATTTTTGTCAGCGGATCCCCTGCCGTCAGATTTTCTCAGCTTTCTGTTCGTCATGTTATGTATGAAAAAGAAAAGAAACGAGAAGCCATCAAAATGGGCTTATGGACCGACAGAAGTAATTTTGGGCATAGCCCAACTTATTGATATGCGTTTCTGTGGCCCACTTTTCATTTCACTCCAACACGCTTTATATCTTGGAAAAATCAGTGTGTGTGGCGGAGGACATGGAACCGCCGGCAACCGCAACGAAACGCTCCTCCCGGCAGCTTATATTCGACCGCCGCTACGGCTGGGGGTAATTCTCCATCTTTTTCGAGTACCCATTTTAGTATTTCATCTAAAAAGCTGAATCCACCGGCCCCTGTTGAAATTCAGGGTCGACGAATGGAAGGATCCGTCGGAGGAAGCTCTCGCCGGCGGCCGAGGGATGTGGGTTGAAATTTTCAGCCTTTATTTACTGTAAAGGCTCATCCTTTGATATGTTTGGTTTCATTCGTTCTGTGCTTTGTGTTGGCTCAGGTTTTGTATTGTTCCCTTGGCGAAAACCGTCGTTCAGGCTGCTTCACAATCAGTGAGTCTTTTCCTGCCCCAATTATCAACATTGCTCTTGTGTTGATCAGCTTCCTAGTGGCGCTGACATTCGCCATTTTTTCTCATTTCACAGGCCAATTCAGCTGTAAAAGTTATGGATAGCGCGTTCTTATTCCCTCCTCAGGTGTTGAAGACCAATGTGGGCAACGAGCTTCAGAAATGGGCGGCGAGTGTTATGCGAAGGCAGGGAACACAAAATGAGTGAAGTGTGTTGGATTGTGGCCTTGTGGGTTTAGCTCTTATGTCGATGTTGGCTTCCGCTATCTTTCCTACAGACTTGGATTGTTCCGCTTTGTCTGTAGCTTAATCTTTTGCTAGTAATAAGGGTGAAACTATCTGTAGAACAAATATATAAATCGTTTTTCATAATTGAAGGGTAAAATCTGACAAGGCAAGACCCTGAACCTCACAACTCAGTGAAACATGAGGGGAAAAAAATGTGCTCTATGTAATGTTTTTGGAGGAGAAAATGATGATGAGACCGCCCGAAGGATCGCTCAAGAACCACACCCCTGTGGAACATCAACAGTGGTTGAGGGAGAAATTGCTTTGATGATTGCAGCAGACGAGACTTGATGTCTTTTTCTAGCATGAGACTTCGTCCGTATATATAAGCTATAATGGCACGTGAAGATGTGTCTTGTTTGAGTTAGCATGATTCCAAGGAGTGAAGTTATTGATGCCATTTTTCAAGAAGTCACCTAGAAGGACCCAAAGTCACGTATACCATTTTCAAGGAGTCTTTGTAGAAAGTGTTGAAAATGATGGTTGAATGTTTATGTCGGTAGAATACAACAAAAAGAAAGAGTTGTAAGAGAAAGAAGTATAAGAAAAAGAGTCACAATTTTCTGAGTTTCACTTGAGCTTTCGGAAAGTACCACGAGTGGTCTCCTCTTAAAATTCTGTTAAGAGCAGCTGTTCATTGATTCAAAACATGTTTGAGGTATGAGTTCACTGATTTCTTCGCGCATATCAGTTATCTCCCGAGCATAAGAGCAGCAGCAGTTCCATGAAGAGTTTCTGGAGTGTCTAAGGCTGAACACAGAGCACCGGCCGGCTTCGTTTAAGCTCTTGAAATCCATAACTCAAACCACTTGAAGTCGAACTAGACCTCTTTCCTCTTCCCTTTTACCACTGGTTTCACATTATCCCTCTTATCTTGAGCCTACGCATAGAGCACTCTAACTTCTCAATGCTTTCTTGGAGGCTGAAGCAACACCCCATTGCAGAAATCCAATAGAATTTTTGAACTAAGAATATAAAAGGTTTTATTAGAGTGACAATTCTACAGATTCCACGTTATTTATAGGTTATTATATAATCATATTATTATCAATTCCCTATCATGAGATTAACTATTTATATGTTTTTGCTATAAATAGCGTGGAATCTGTAGAGTTGTCATTCTAATAAAACCTTTTATATTCTTCGTTCAAAAATTCTATTGGATTTCTGCAATGGGATTAACTATTTATATGTTTTTGCTATCTATCAAGGAGAATTCCCGAAATGATAGGAGATCTTTACTTGCATATTGGTATTATTTGACGCGAGAAACACAACATTAATCCAATAGCTTGTTTCTATCTTAGTTACCATTTTCTAATGGGTTCCAAATCTTTTGTATGCAAACAATTGTTCGGATGTAACTTTTTCGGTATATAATACAAATCACCTCTTACAAAAAAAAAACTATTTATATGTTTAGCATGATCCAATAAAAAAATTAAATGTTTATAAAATTTAATTTAGTGTCTTATATAAACTAGAAATGCAATGAACATAAATATGTTTCAATGTTTAATGCCCGTTTTTTAATTTGATGTCTAGATAACAAGATTCAATGTTTTAATAAAATGAATTAATGTTTAAAGATTCTGTTTTATATTAGATAATTATATTATCAAATCTTCAGGGAATTTGTTTATTAGCATGATATAATAATAAAAAAATTAAATGTCTACATGATTTTTGGTGAAAACTTAATTTTTTTTTTCTTGCTCAGAAGTTCATCTACCTTCTTCACAATCTCCTCAACATCCAAGATCCGATTCGCGACCACATGAGTTCGTTGACGCTATGTCGACTCCTTTCTGCCCAATCTCCCCATGGTGTGGTTATGGTTTTTTTTTTTTTCAACCAGTAGAAGTAAAGATATATGACAGCCAAATTTGTCATACGAAAATTTCCAATAAATATTTCATTTTTCTATACAAATTTTTTGCTTTCCTAATATATTTTAAATCATTCATCTTCTATAAATATCGTGATAATTTTTTGATTATTATAATTATGGTTTAAAAACAAATAAAAAACTTAAAAAGTGCACGGATAATGTACGCTTGGGTATTCTTGTAAAACCTAAGTCAATAAATGAACGGTGGATATGCTATTCTTTCGGGATCAATCTTGTTAACGATGCGGTCAATAAAATAATAATCATTAAGAGTGAAGATAGTAAAATAAATTGAGACTTTGTAGTCTCTATAATAATAATAATAATAATAATAATAATTGAATCATATTTAACCTGTTGAAGTAAAGATATAACCTATGAATATATCGTTGGTGTCAAATTATTTAACCTATAATTATTATTATTATTATTATTATTATTATTATTATTATTATTATTATTATTATTATTTAACTAATAATAATTGAATCATATTTAACCTGTTGAAGTAGAGATATAACCTATGAATATATCGTTGGTGTAAAATGATTTATTTAACCTATAAATATATAACAACCAAATTTGTCATACAAAATTTCCCAATAAATATTTTATCTTTCTACACAAATTTTTTGTTTCCTTAATATATTTTAAATCAGTTGAGTCACTTTTCAAATATTTTGGATTGAAGAACCTCATCTTCTATAAATATCATGACAATTTTTTAAAATTATAATTATGGTTTAAAAACAAATAAAAAAAAACTTACAAAAGTGTATGTACGCTAATTATAAGTTAACACATTTTGCGTTGTAATTGGACAAAGATGGGCATTCTTGTAAACCCTAAGTCAACACGTGAATTTAATAGGTCAAACCTCATTTAATCCATTTGAAAAAATTAATCAAATGGATAAACCTTTTGGATTTATAAATGGATCAACCCGACCCATTTTGACATTCTGATGAAGTTTTGTCAGGAAAACACACGTCATATCATTATCGCCACATCATCAAAATTTTACCACGTACATACACACACACACACATTTGTATTCTGCGTCGACGTCCGGATCTTCACCTCTAAAACCAGATGATGATCATTGTCTCGTTTGACAAAAGGCCCAACTAATGTAAATAGGCTTCTCACTGGGCCCTCTAGGATGGCCCATTACCATCTGACGCATCTGATCTCGTGCTATCCACGTGGCGGATTAACACATGAATAAATCACGTATACATTTAATTAGTTTAAACTTAAACACGTGGCATAACTTGTGGAAGTAAACAAACATGAATGCAGACATGGATTTGGACTTTGGAGGGGAAGAGGAGGGAGGGAGGCAGGAGTAACATGGGGGTTCATGTGAGGGACATGTCGTTGTCAAACCACAAGGGGACATCGTCCCAATTTCGTAAACCCAATTGGATTTCATTTTCTCCCCAACAAATCTCGTTCGCAGAACATGCAAATGACTACGACCTCTTAATTCCCCCTCTCTTTTTGCTTTTCCATTTGCCAATTGATGTGATTAGAGATCACGCATGAAATGAATAAGAAAAAAGATATTGTAGACCATATATTATGGTATTCAACGTCAATCCCCGACAACAAAACGAGAAATACTTATGTAGAGTGTCGAAGCTTTTTTGTGTCACAAGGGTACATGTATTGTTATATAACATACTACTATGGGTGAAGCCAATGCGCTCTCTCTAGTGTTGTCGTTGAAGCTATTGGCAGAGAGGTAACGGTGTGGATATCCAAAAACTTAAACATAATCCCTAACAAGATCATGAACGTCAACAATCCACATATACCGACATTTGTTCGTACGCTATCATGGAAATTTACTGGTACGAGAGAGAGAGAGAGAGAGAGAGAGAGAGAGAGGGACCATGCTGTCGAGGGGAGGACCAACAATGAAGGGAAACCCCAATGGGTTTGGCTCCCACAGTGTCACATATGCCCCCAATATACCTCCTGGCTTTTTGTGTATCCTTGAAAAAAAAAATCTAATTCATCCAAAATATTAAAATAATTTATACTGATTTTTCTGTTTCGGTAATTTTAGTTCCCTAAATTACAGATTTTTAAATGAAGCCACCGGTCACAAATGCGTCTGTTTTCCAATTTATAATCGATTTTTGGAAAACTAATAAATTTCCCAAGAGCGTTTCTAAGAGACTAATCATATTTGTTTTTTTACTCGAATGAAAAAAAATATGATTGTTCATTGTGTGTAAAGGTTGTATATAAGTATATATATTTCATAAGAGAAACGTAGATATATATATATATATATGTAAACATTACTACATTAGTAGCCGACGAACAGTCCCCATCCTCCTCCATAAATAAATAGCAACCTCACCATCTCTTACTCCTCCGCCATCTCCACCTCATCTCTCTCTCAAAGAACGTAAAAAATTCTCACTCGAGAAACACAGATCAACAATGGCGGTCAAGAAATCTCAGAAACTTTCACAGACAGCAATGCTGAAGCAAATCCTCAAAAGATGCTCGAGTTTGGGCAAGAAACAGGGATACGACGAGCATGGCGACGTGCCGAAGGGCCATTTCCCTGTCTACGTGGGGGAGAAGCGGACGCGATACATCGTACCGATCTCGTTCTTGGGCCATCCCGAGTTCCAGACTTTGCTCCAGCAAGCCGAGGAGGAATTCGGATTCAATCACGACATGGGTCTCACCATCCCTTGTGAAGAAGTCGTTTTCCTCTCTCTAACATCCATGATCAGATGAACAAGAACCTGTGCGCTCTTAATTATTGTTGCTGACATATTATTATCAGGTGGATTTTTTTTTTCTCGGACAACCATTGATCCCGAGATCCTTTTTTCTGGAGAAATCTACGTAAACAGCCTTCTACATGTGGATGGATCATGTGTGTGAATTTTGAGTCCTCAAGAGAAGGCTTTAACCTAAGTGGGTCTGCTAGGATTCTATCTTTTTTCCTGTTCTTGGTGGGTTGAGATTTCATCGGAAGCTGTTTCAGCTCTCTCAAAAACCAGTCAATTAAGTGTTTTCTTGGTTTAATATGTGTAAATATTTTAGGGTTTCCTCGCAGATGTAATTCTATGAGAGAGAGATGTTGAATAAATTCATCAGTACTGGATCTTTTTGCGAGTATGGTGGTGTATACGTACGTATATATCCTAACCTTATGTGCAACTAGTCAGGTTTATAAATCATCCTAATGGCGTCGTAAAACTAATGACGGGAAAGTGCCTGAAATATGAGATTCTATGACTTACTAGACGTATGATTCTATGAATTGAAGTTGGGAAATGTTACAGCCGAAAGTGATCAAACGAATTCTGTTCTTATTCTCTTCTGCAATCTCATGTATATACAGACACTGATGAACCTCAGACCTAAAACCAGAAAAGGAAAATACAGAGCAATATGCAGAGTTCCCATGTTGGGCTGATCTGCGAATATATACACAGTATATTTCCCATTACCCCCCTCAAGTTGGAGCGTAAATATCATGCAAGCCCAACTTGTCTAAGAACGTATCGAATTCCTTTCGACCAAGCGCCTTAGTGAATATATCTGCAAGTTGTTGAAGACTGGAAACATGTCTTGTGATGACAGTGTTGCAGCCAATATGATGACGAAGGAAGTGACATGCAATCTCGATATGTTTCGTTCGATCGTGGAAAACATCGTTCGCTGCAATATAAATCGCCGCTTGACTATCACAGTGAAGAACCATTGGATCAGAATGAGGAACGCCCAGTGACAGAAGGAGACCTTTGAGCCAGATTAGTTCACAAGTGGCGACAGACATAGCCCTATATTCCGCTTCGGCCGATGACAACGAGACAGTTTGTTGCTTCTTAGACTTCCAGGATACAGGAGAGTGGCCGAGTATACTGTGTATATATTCGCATTAGGAAATGCAATGACCCAAAGAGAGAGAGAGAGAGAGAGAGAGAGAGAGAGAGAGAGAGAGAGAGAGAGAGAGAGAGAGAAATGTACGAAAGAGTGGATACGTACGTACTCCAAAATTAAATCCAAGTCACAAATACTAATCCATCACATGCATGGGATGGGATGGGACCATCGATTTTATTGGAGGGAGTTTGTACGTACACATATATTTGTCCCAAGCGAAGAAAAACAAAAACAACAAACAGTAGTTGAAGCAAAGGACTGTCTCTACCCTAGTAATGAGTTGTTGGTCCAATATATATACATATATACATATACATATGTATGTATGCATTCAAATTCAATTGAATGCACTTCCCTTCCCCTTTTTTCTCCTCTTCCTATGAACCACAAATCCTATATGACAGCAACTACTCCTCCAAATGCCCTCCCTCTATTTTCTTTCTCCGCGGAATATCTTTTACCCCAATTTCCAAATTATTCATTTTCGTCCACATGTACAAGTCTCTGATATCTTCATGCCTCGTCATACATACATACGTACATATATATATATATATATATATATATGCATAAATATATCTATATTAAATTTGTATACGGATATATACGGATTTTGATAAAACGGTTCCACGTTTCGACAAATGCTAGTGCAATCAAGGACATTTTTTTTTGGAAAAGGTAGAAACCATTTCTTTTATAATAAAATTAACTTGAATATTAGAAAAGGAATAGGCTTTGTGTTTCCATGTATTTAGGCGAAAAATAAAAAATATTTTAAAAAGGGGTAATTGATATGGTGGACTAATAAAGAACGTATAAGTATATGTACCATTGAAAGGGAAACGTTTTGGGACAAACTCCATCCACATGTCTTTGGCGCATGCTTCCTCGCGAGAATATACCCACCAACATAAATAAAGTTAATTATTATCATTCCCTTTGCCTAATTTGAGATGTTTCGCCCAATTCATTAGTTGAAAGTTTTAAAAACATTTATTCTTAGAAAAAACTTTGATTTTAGAACATTCTCTATATATCCATGTATAGGTTTATTTGTGAAGAAACCCACATATTTGTAAGGTTTCTACGAAGGGCCGATGATTTTTGGGAGTGTTTTTCTAGAAAAGAACACTTAAATTCCCTTGTAGTCACTTTGTCCGATGAAAAACATGTTTACATGTTGATCAAAAAGAGAGAAAAAAGGAAACTGTATCATATGTAAATGATACTCGAATCTGTAGAGAAGGAAAATTGCTTGATTCTTTTAGAGTGATTTGCTTCCAACGGTGTGATCTCGAGGTTGCCTTTTTTGTGTGTGATTCTCCTGACTAGATTGACTCAGTCTGATGCTGAGACTCAGTCGGTCTGATGAACTCTCCGAGTCGGTCTGATGTTGGCTCGCGTCTGACCATTAGTTATCTTCTCCTGGATGAAGTGGCAATCAACTTCAATGTGTTTCGTGTGTTCATGAAACACGGAGTTGGTTGCGATGTGAATTGCCGCCTGGTTGTCGCAGTGTAGAGGCGTGGGCGTCGGTATCGATGTGAAGGTCGTGGAGAAGTTATCGCAGCCATAGGACTTCACTGGTTGTATTTTCCATTGCTCTGTACTTTGCTTCTGCACTAGATCTCGCCACCACCGTCTGCTTCTTACACTACAAAAAAAACCCCTAATATCAACGGATTTTTCCGTTGAAATCACATAAATATCCGTTAAAAATCGATGATTTCAACGGATATTGCAACAGACACGACCCGTTGCAAATCGGTCGTTGAAATTTGAATTCCGTTACAATCCATTGATAATGTTAACGATATTTCAACGAGTAATTTCCGTTGATCATTGCAACGGTATTGCAACGGAAGTTACCGTTGATATATTTCAACGTTTTTTGCAACCAAAATATTCGTTGTTACTTAGCAACGAATTAACCGCTGATCGTAACAACGGAATTCCGTTGATAATTTTCGTTGCAAATGTTAACGAAATGTCGTTGATAGTAACTGTTGCAAATTTACAATGACAGCTATCGGTGGAAAATTTCGTAACTAATATCAACGATTACTATCAACGGACGTCCGTTCACATCAAAACTATCTACGGATCTATCCGTTGATATGCATTTATATATATATATATTTATATATTAAAATTAATATATATATATATATATATTAATTAAAAATATAAATATATAATTTAAAAATATTAAACCATACAATTAAACCAGGTTCGATACAAAATATAAAATTAAATAACCGAAAACTAATTCAAACTTTTGGTTTCTTCGTCTTCGGTCGTTCCGAGAGTTCGATCGCAGGAGGTTCTGTCGGCTGAAGGTGTTATGGAAGAAGGTGGAGGATGAACTCCTCTAAGCAGCTCGATCATGTGTTCGAGATTAGATATCTTCGCCTGTTGCTCTTCCCATTTCACATGTTGTTCCGTCATTTGCCGCTCCGTCTCTTCCTTCTGATGTTGGAGCGATCATTCAAGTTGTTATATCCGACGTTCTTGATTGGTATCGATCTGTACCTGTGGATGAACCGACGATCCAAAATCTTGTAGTGAATCTCTCTGGAGGCCTCCTAAACCGTAGATACAGTCTTTGTTCCACTCAACAGACTACAAAATAATACATATTATATATAAATTATTTAATCAATAATAATATAATTTAAAGATTGAATAAATAAATTTGATTTTATACCTCAACATTACATTTGTCTTGATCGGTAGGAGACAAGTTGGTCCCCGACGATGAACTAGCAGCCGCTATTTGGGTGAGTTATGATAACTTCTCGTTCACTAGTCCCAACACCCGTTCAGCTCGAGGATCGACGAACCGACCATCGGGACGTCTATGCGTCCGATTAACCAACTCAACGATGGACACTTTTCGTCCCATTTCTCGTTGCTACAAATATAATATATAAAATATATTAAATTAATATATAATTATAACTTGTGACAATATAATTAAAATTAATACCAATTCTTTCGCCCGTTTTTTGAAATATTTGGCGCCAGAAGTGTGACGATGAAGCCTATATCCTTCAACTTGTTGGCTGAGACGACTCTCTCTGGCTTTTCGACTCTTGTCTTTGAATTGATCTGAATTCCAATGCATTAAAAGAGCATTGAAGATGTCATCTGTCGCCCATAATGGTCGCTCTACCTTTTTGTCGTACTTCCGCTTTGCATTGCTCATGAGAAGTTTGATTCTCGTATGCCCCAACACGTTAAACTCTTTGTAAACTCTATCGGTGATTAATTTTTTTCACCGAAAAGTTTGCTAGAAAAAAATACACACACATTAGTATTAATTTAATAATTAGATTATAACGGATTAGTATTATATTTTAATACTTACAATAAAAGATAACCACCACTGCCGCCGAATGTGGTGTGGAGCTTGTTAGGAATTCCTGGGATCTCATGAGCGAATCTAATTCCTAAGAGATCGATTCTAGGGTTTATGCAGCGGATGTAAAACAAAAATTTTGATGAAACCCTAGAACCTATCATGCATGATCTTGTAGAAACGTTAGAACGCTTACCTCAATCGATCCGGGGCCTAGATCAATTGATCTGTTCGTCCGATCACTGTAGGCAGGAAGGATACCTTGCCCTCTACATGTATCCACACAGCGGAAAGGATTCCAACGGTTGGAACTTGTCTGCTAGGACTGAAGAACACGTTCTTCTTTGCGCAAGGGTTTCAGGGATCTTTCTCTCAGGTTTTTCACTCTCCAAACCTCTCCTTAGGGTTTGAAATTCGTGCCAAGAGAGTTAGTGAGGCGTTCCCTAAGTTTATCCTACTTAAAACCCTAATTAAAGCGAGTTTAGGAAATCCCGACGTCTGGACCGACCGGTCTGGAGCTTACGTCTGGACCGATCGGTCCATAGGTCTGGACCGATCGGTCTGGAATACTTTCCAGACCGTGTGACTGTCACACGTTATCTCCGGACCGACCGGTCCACGTGTCTGGACCGATCGGTCTGGGTTGGTTGGACCGACCGGTCTAGAAGGTCTAGACCGGTCGGTCTGGCCTCCGCTCCACCGGGATTTTCTCGTCTCTTCTCGTGCATTCGTCCTTTCATGTGTGTGTGACCCTGTAGGCTCATCCGATATAGCAGTATAACACGAAATCTCTTATTTCGTTACACAAGTCATAGGCGGTCTCTAGCAAGACACTATGACTACCTATCTCGAATAGAGTTTGTTCGCGATCCTACGAGCGCCAATGATGATTCCGTTTGATGATCCTTTTGTATCACGATATCATATGTCGAATATAAGGCATGGACAAACCACCTTATCTGATTCGATTGCTTTCTCGTTCACTGAGTTCGACTGTCCGAAATAGACGACGTTCGTCTATAGTGCGGCCACACATTTCTACAGTCTCGCTCACACGAGGGGCCCAGCGATATCTCTCTCTTTTACGAGAGGTACAAATCCCTTCTTGACTATCTACAATCGAGCACATGATTCGTTTCGTACCTGATACACGCCTTTATAGTCCTCCTGTTACGCAGGACGTTTGACGTAATCAAAGTACGCAACTCCTCATGCTGGATTCCGTAGATATCTCAGGTCTTAGGATCCAATCATGGAACCATCATATGATATTCAAGTCATGATGCTAGTCCATGTGACAATCTCATGCGGGTCAATCCAATATTCCGTTCTCCAACGAATACCTATGATTGTGATCGTATCCAATACCTATGATCATCTATATGATCATCAATCAGACATCATACTAGTCTTATTATGTCGTTATTCCCATAACGACACAAGACTAGGGAGTTAAGTATCATTCATAATGATAGATGGTTTTCATAACACATCTAGTATGCAAGAACATGTAATGAATCAAATACTCTCATAAAACCATAGAAAGTATCAATACATCAAATGTATCTAAATAAATCTCATAAATAGTACATCATAGAGCACTAAACCAACAGAGATACAGTCCAAGAATAATACAGCTCAGATATACGAACTGTAATTATTCTAGTCAATGCATTCTTAATTTGATTATCATTAACTCCAAACCTACATAATATAATCATTAGTTAGTAACTTCAATAAAAAAAACAAAAAAAAAACATTATAATTATACCATAATCCATCATCGCAGTCAGAATCGATGATGGAAACGGTGCGACTATCGAAAGCATCCAGTGTTGCATCGACATCAAACATCGTATCCTCGTCGAACACAGGCGATGCATCAGGTGGAAGTGGCAACTGTGATGGTGGTGGATGCGGGGGTGGAGGCGTTCTAGCAGATCCCTCCAATAATCCTCTACCTCTATGAACCCTGGTAGAAAACTGTAATAACAAATGTTATTTCTATATATATAACATAACTGAAAAATATTAATTTATAAAATATAATAAATACAAAATAAAAAAGTATACCATTGGAAGGGAAAATCACTGCGTTTTTTTGGTGGAGGCGCTCCTTTTTTTTTTCAGATCCGGATTGAAAGTAAGGAGAAAGAAAATCGCTGGCGGATTTATAGATCATATCAACGGACATCCGTTGATATTTTAATTTCAACGTACATCCGTTGTAAATTTCGTCGATTTTAAGACGCTCTGATTGGCGGATGAACATATCAACGACCATCTGTTGAAAATATCAACGGAAAATTCAACTTTGTAGATATTTTCAACGGATAGTCGTTGATATTTCGCTGCATTTAATTGCAGATCCTGGAGATAAATCAACGGTAATACGTTGAAAACATTGGAAATTGAATATATCAACGGAATTCTGTGGATAGTTTCAACGGATAGCCGTTGATATGTGGCTGCATTTAATGGCAGATCCTACAGATAATAATTCAACGGTTGTCCGTTGATATTATCAACGAAATTCCGTTGATAGGTTAAAACTTATAAACAAAAATTGAAATCCGAAAGTGAAAAAAAAAATTAAAATATTCAAATTCAAAATATTAAAAAAATATATATAAAAATTACAACGAATCGTTATCATTTTCACTTTCGTGTGATGTATCATCGTGATCGGAAATAAATTCATCGGGTTCAACTTGGGTAAAATTATCAATATCTTCATCTTCTACATCCGCAACTACAAGTGTGTCTTCATAATCTTCAAGTCGAATAGGAAACACTGAATTTTCACTTGGGTCTTGCACCACTTCTTCTGAATCTTCAATTGTTGATGAATTGATCACCATTCTTCGAGGATTGATTTTCACCACAGATGACTATTGATCTTCTTTGCGTATTTTATGTTGGGATACATGATATTTTGGGTATGGAATGAAACAGACCTGATCACTTTGATCCGAGAGAATAAAAGGATCATATTTAGGATATGCTCATGTTGGATTGATGTCGATTCCTCCCATTTGTTTTTTCGCGATCCACGTCCCATGGTTGTATCGAACCAATGACATCGAAAGACAACTGTTTTCAGACCGACTAATACGGGATATTCGATCTGGATGATATGATGTAAAACTCCAAAAAAATCTGAATCATCTGATCAATCACTGTAATTCGAACTCTTGATGCACTCTCTGTAGTTGAACGTATTACGATGTTTCCCATGTTCAATCGTGTGAAATGTGTATCCACGCGTGAACATGATCGACCATGATATCACTCTTCTGCTAGGCCCTTGTGATAAATCTCGCACCCAATGCGGAATCCTCTCGTCACGTAAAGATTGAACCTACAACCACAAGAATCAATTTGTTGGGTTAGCAATCATATATGTATATATGATTAAATTACTATTATACATATCCACTAACATGGTCTCTCAACCAAGATGCGTAGTTTTCTTGTTTCAATTCGTCGAAAGCTTCGACACTTAAATTTGGGTAAGCTTCTAAAACCTGCTCCTCAAAGATCCTGCAAAATGTTGATACGTTGAATATTCAGTTTCGCTCTCACATAGGATTGAATATTGAATGTAGCTACAATATATATGCGCATGTACCTCTCGTAATGACGAAGTTCTACGCAATTCAATAAAATATAAGTAGCGAGATGGTTATACTCCTGTACAGTTAACCAATGTTCCTCTTATTTACCACCCATCTGGCCTGTCGGCATAGAAAACTCCGGAATGTCGTCTATAGACCAAGATTCATAATGATATAGATATGTATCCAAATCATTATTGTCTGACCTTCGTTCCTTCGTCGGAATTTGAGGTTCAAAATAAAATGAGCTAAAATATATGATTTCTTCTAACAAATATTGCTTCACAATTGAACCTTCAAACACAACTTTGTTTTTTGCCTTTTTCATTAAATGGAAGAAAATCCGTTCAAATGGATACATCCATCTAAATTGAACTGGACCTCCTACGATCGCTTCATCTGAAAAATGAACGGCTAAATGCTCAATCACATCAAAAAATGATGGGAATACCTTTTCCAATGCACATAGTATCTCCGTGATGTTGATCTTTAGAACTTCCAAATTACTTCTTCTTAAATTTTTGGCATAAATATCTCTGAAAAATGAACTTATACCACATAATCCTTCGTGCACACTCGGTTTTAACAGTTCTGCAAAAGCAATCGGAATGAGACGTTGCATAAAAACATGACAATCATAGTTCTTCATTCCTATAAGCTTCGTTGACTCCATATCAACGCAAAGAGCTATTTTTGAGGCATATCCATCAGGAAATTTCACTTCTTTCTGCAACCAATTCATCAAAACTTTCTTTTCACGACTCAGTAATCTAAAGATTGGAGTTAGTGTCTTACCATCATGTGTTAGCTTCAACTCTTTTCTTTTACAGATTTCATTCATGTCCTTCCTCGAATTGACATTATCCTTTGTCTTTCCTGATACATTCAGAACAATATTGATGATGTTATCAAACAAATTCTTTTCTATATGCATCACATCCAGATTATGTCGGAGTGTAAGCGAACTCTAATAAGGTAGATTCCAGAAAATACTCCGTTTATACCAGTTGTGCCGATCACCAAATCCTTTGCATTTTGTATGCCCAAAATTACCTCCACATCGAACGGATTCTTGCAAATCGTCAATAATACCCTGTTTATCTGCAATATTGGAGCACACTCTTTAACAATTCAACCTTTCACAAACGCAATATGGTTTTGCCGCAATGGATGATACATTGGAAGAAACCGTCGATGACAATCGAACCAATACGATTTTCGTCCGTGCTTTAAGTAAAACACATCAGTTTCTTCCAGACAATATGGACACGCCAATCTTCCATGTGTGCTCCGTCCAAAGAGCATACCATATGCAGAAAAATCGTTGATCGTCCATAGAAGCACAACTTTTAGTGTGAAATTTCGTTTCACACTAACATCATATGCAAGAACTCCAATGTTTCACAAATCAGTCAATTCCTTAATCAAAGGTCGTAGAAACACATCAAAACTCTTCTTCAGGTGATCTGGCCGAGGAATCAACAATGTTAGAAATATAAATTCTCTTTTCAGACACATCTCAGGGGGTAAATTATATGGCGAGAGTATCACAGGCCATAATGAATATTGCATGCCAGATTGTCCGTACGGACTAAAACCACCCTGCATAAGCAGAGATAAACATTCCAAGGCTCAACAGCAAAATGAGGGAATACCTTATTGAAATCTTTCCATGCAATGTCATCGGATGGATGTTGCATATCTTCTGTCGAGCTCGAATGATTTGCATGCCATCTCATATGTGATGTCGTTTTCTCTTATTCATATAACCTTCTCAATTTATACGACACAGGCAAAAAGAACATCTTCTTATATGGCACTTTTTCTAGAGATCTTTTCTTACTCGGTCGATATCTATTCGCTCCACAAAATTTACACTTCATCAAATCTTTATCAGTATCCCAAAAAAGCATGCAACTGTCTCTGCAGACATCAATCTTTTCATGAGGCATTCTCAAATCCTTCAAGATTGCTTTCGTATCATAATATGACTGCGGAGCTTGATTGTTTTCCGGTAAATACTCATGCAATGTCTTGCAAAACGAATCCATCAATTCTCAATAACATTATAATCTGTTTTCATGCTTATCAATCTTGATGCTAATGATAATCGAGAATGAACTTGTTTGCATCCTTCGTATATAGGATGATTTGCCATCGTGAGCAAATGACGAAAAATATTTTTGCGTCATTATTCGACTCTTCATATTGTTGTTGAACTTGCTCAAATACCCCCGGAAAAACATCTGTCACCATTTGAGCGTACGAATTTCTTGTTTCAAAATCAAAAGATTGATTTTCTCCAATTGCTTCTACCTCCTCTGTCTGTGTCCATACAACAGTATTCATCGTTGTCCTGACTTCTTCTCCATGCATATGCCTTACGTAGTAATCATCCATAAAACCCCTTCGATATAGATGTTTGCAGACCACTTCTTGGCTTAGAAATTTTAAATTTCTACAATCTTTACATGGACATTGCAATTTTTCGTGCTCTTGACATAAAGGTTGCGTTGAAGCAAAACTCATAAATTGCTCCAAACCAACACAAAACTCGGGTGTAACTTCTTTTGTTGTTGGATCTTCTCTACGATATTTCCAGTGCCTTGAAACATGTATATTTCGGTTTGAGGAAGAAGAAGACATTTTGAGATATTTTGGTTGTGAATGGGAGAGAGGAGGCAATTTTTATATAATTGATATATCAACGGATGTCCATTGAAACTAAAACAGCTACAATTATCAACGGACATCTGTTGCAACGAAAACGGCCACAAATATCAACGGACATCCGTCGATAATTCCAACGACATGAATCTATTGATATTTAGCCATTGAAGTATTTAACGCATGAATTCCGTTGTATAAAATCGTTGAAATATATCAATGGAAATACCCGCTACTATTCTGTTGAGAATCCATTGAAATTATATCAACGGATAATTCCATTGATAATATCCGTTGATATAAGGCTGTTTTTTTATAGTGTTACTTTTTCATGAAACGAGGTTGTCTCTAATAAAGGTGCAATACCCAATTGTAGATTTCCTATCCTTGCGATCGCATGCCCAGTCTGCATCACAGTAAGCAACGATGCGCGTGTGTTGTTGACCATCCATATTCCTTTGTCGGGCATTCCTTTGAGATATCCACCATTTGTCAGTGAGTAGTTATTGGTGTATGCATCCATTGACTAACCTGATGTACAACAAAGCTAATGTCAGGACGCGTAATTGTAAGGTAAATAAGCTTACCTACAACACGTCGTTATTGCTCTGGATTTTCGAACTGTTCCCCCTCAGATTGATCCTTGAAATGATCCTCTAGCGACATTTGGACAGATTTGGCTCCAATTTTACCTATTTCACTAAGTAAATCCAGTGTGTACTTACGTTTAGCATAAGAAAATAGAATTAATAGTACGAGTTACTTTAATACCAAGGAAGTACTTTAAAACTCTTAAATTTTTAATATCAAAAACAGACTTAAGGCATTGGTTTGCTTCTGTAATGCCACTAGACAATAGTTATTATAATGCCATGAGTTGAGTGAGAAGTGAACAAAGAATGATTGGAATCACTCCTTGTAAAACCTTTTTCCGTGAGGGTCATGTAAAGACGATGATACCAAGTTCATGGTAATTGTTTGAGTCCATAGATAGCCTTACGTAATTTGCACACCTTTTCCGATGTAGTGAGTTTCGTATATCTCGACGGAGGAGTCATAAAGATTTCTTCAGAAAGATCTCCTTGAAAAAATGCATTCTTCATGTCCATCTGCCATAATTCTCAATTAAGGTTAATGGATAACGAAAGTACAACACGTACGGACAACTTAGCAACCGACGCAAACGTATCCGTATAATACTCGTCGTAGGTTTGTGTATATCTTTTGGGGACCAATCGAGCTTTGTGTCGCTCCACTTCACCGGTGCTTTTGTATTTGATCTTATAGACCCATTTGCAACCTACGAAATGTTTATCAGGTGAAAGAACCAGACTCTAATACTATGATAAAATCTACATATTTGTAAATTTTCTATGAAGAATAGAGGATTTTTGGGAGTGTTTTTGTAGAAAAGAACACTTAAATTCCCTTGTATCACTTTGTCCAATGAAAAACGTGTTTACATATATGCTGATCAAAGAGAGAGGAAAAAGGAAACTATATAATATGTAAATGATACTCGAATCTGTAGAGAAAGAAAATTGCTTGATTCTTTCATAGTGATTTGCTCCCAACGATATGATCTTGAGGTTGTCTTTTTTGTGTGTGATTCTCTCAATTAGATTGATTCAGTCTGTTGCTGAGACCGAATCGGTCTAATGCATTCGCCGAGTCGGTCTGCGTCTTCTCCTCGTGATATGTCTTCCGTAACAATTTGGAAGATTCACCTCTCAATTTGAATATTAAGACTATAATAATAACGAAAGGAAGCTTAACTTTATTAATCAATATTAGAGTATTTATACAAATGTGATAACCCTAATTATATATACATGATATTACATATATACCCTCTTATAAAGACATATAATCGCTATACAATTATATTTTTATAATATATAATATATCCCCAAAAAACGCATGCCTATCGTCTATACATGATGCAGTTATGGTAAGATTCTTCCTCCTTTGTATATATCTGCTTGGGTGATTAGATTTTTTTTTTTTTTTTTTTTTTTTTCAATCCACTAAGTAGTAGATAACTATCATTGTATATTAATTTAAAAAAAATCATCAGTTAAAACGTTTTCTTACTTCATAAGCCTCTACCTATGTAACACGTGTACGTGCTTTAATGCCAGAATCTAGCTTCACAATATTATCAATCACAGCGCAGATTCTCTTCGACTCTTTAATCGAGCATTGAAACTTGCTCATTTGTTTCCTAATAAATCATGATAATCACGACTTTATTTCCATCTCCATCCTATTCACCCATATACCATATATCCACCACCGATATCAGAATCCATAGCTCTAGACTTTCCCACGTTTCTAAACCTAGAAAAACCACCCCCTCATATATATTATATATATAAGAAGAGCCATCCCCCTCTCTCTTGCTCCCTGCCTCTCGGAGAAGCTTTGACCAGAGCTCATCCATGGCGGCCGCCGTCAAAATCTCCTCCGTCCTTCCCCGTTCTCTCTCCTTCAACACCAAGGAAGCTCCTCAAAATACCCTTTTTCCCTCCTCCGCCAAAACCTCCCTAAAACCCTTCACTTTCTCAACTCATCTCTCCGTTTTCCCCAGAAACCCACTTCCCTATTCAGTTTCGCTCTCACATAGGATTGAATATTGAATGTAGCTACAATATATATGCGCATGTACCTCTCGTAATGACGAAGTTCTACGCAATTCAATAAAATATAAGTAGCGAGATGGTTATACTCCTGTACAGTTAACCAATGTTCCTCTTATTTACCACCCATCTGGCCTGTCGGCATAGAAAACTCCGGAATGTCGTCTATAGACCAAGATTCATAATGATATAGATATGTATCCAAATCATTATTGTCTGACCTTCGTTCCTTCGTCGGAATTTGAGGTTCAAAATAAAATGAGCTAAAATATATGATTTCTTCTAACAAATATTGCTTCACAATTGAACCTTCAAACACAACTTTGTTTTTTGTTGACGAGCTTCACGAAGAATGCGGTGTTGTCGGAATCTTCGGCGATCCGGAAGCTTCCCGCCTTAGCTGCGCGGCCCTTCACGCGCTCCAGCACCGAGGCCAAGAGGGCGCTGGGATCGTAGCCGTCAATCAGAAGGGCCTCGAGTCCGTCAAAGGCGTCGGATTGGTCGGCGACGTGTTCAAAGAATCGGATATCAACAATCTTCCCGGCGATATAGCCATAGGACACGTCCGGTACTCCACCGAGGGAGCATCCATGCTCAATAACGTCCAGCCCTTCGTCGCCAGCTTCAAGTTCGGCTCGGTCTCGGTGGCGCACAATGGCAATCTCGTGAATTACAAGCAACTGAGACAAAAGCTCGAGGAGAATGGTTCGATCTTCATTAGTAGTTCGGACACCGAGGTTGTACTTCACCTGATCGCAACCTCCAAGGCCCAGACATTAATGGCGAAGATCCTCGACGCCTGCGAGAAGCTTAAGGGAGCCTACTCGATGGTGTTTGCGACAGAGGATACGCTGTATGCAGTCCGCGATCCGTTCGGGTTCAGGCCACTGGTGATGGGCAGAAGAAGCAACGGCGCTGTGGTCTTTGCCTCGGAGACATGCGCTCTGTACCCAATTGGCGCCAAGTTCGAACGAGAAGTATTTCCGGGAGAGATGGTGGTTGTGGACAGAGACATAGTGAGTTCACTGTGTTTGATACCTCGCCGCGAACCGAAGCAGTGCGTTTTCGAGCACATTTACTTTGCACGGCCAGATTCTAACGTCTTTGGTCACTCCGTTCAAAAGATGCGCCGCCTATTTGGAGAGATCCTGGCCACAATAGAGCCCGTAGACTGCGACATTGTCATTCCGGTGCCAGATTCCGGCACAATTGCAGCCCGCGGATACGCTGACAAAGCCGGAAAGCCTTTCGACGATGGTCTGCATAAGTCGGCCTATGCAAAACGCACATTCATAGAGCCGTCGCAGAAAATCCGTGACGCGGCTGTGAAGCGGAAGCTGACACCGAACCCGGCAGTGCTGGAGGGGAAGAGGGTGGTTGTGGTCGACGACTCCATCGTAAGGGGAACCACCTGTTTGAGGATCGTACGGATGCTGAGAGAAGCAGGAGCGAAAGAGGTTCACATGAGAATGGCATGCCCTCCCATCATCGCTTCCTGCTACTACGGAGTGGACACAGCTCGGAAGGAGGAGCTGATCGCCAACAGGATGAGCATAGACGAGATCCGGGAGTTTATAGGGGCGGATTCCCTGGCGTTTTTACCGCTGGACAGATTGAAGGAGGCGTATGGTGCCGATTCCAATACGTATTGCTACGCTTGCTTCAACGGCGAATACCCGGTCACTGCAACAGAGGCCGAGGAAGAAAAAGAGAATAAACTGAAGAGAAGCTTCAATGGCGAGGGAATGGAAGGTAGGAGAGAAGCGGCTTTCGTTTAGTATTTTTCTTTCTATAATAAATGGTTGTCTTGTCTTGATGATAATGAAGAAAAATAGTAATAAACTCCCGGATTGACTTCATATTCTAACCCTCTGTCGGGTCCGCGTGCCCTCACTGAGAAGAAGGCAGCAAAACACAAATAGTTAGAATCACAACGTTTCTGCTGTTGGAACAAAGGCCAAGATTGAAAGACAACAGAGTTAAGCAAGCAAAACAGAGGAGACAAATCTCTGTCTATATGTCCAAACCCCTCCTCCATCACAAACATACATATATATATATGTATATATATCTACATTATTCTAAAATTAACGAAAATGTATTCTGGAAGTATAACTGAATTTCTTGGACATGACCCATGTGTATTAACCGACTCTGCACATCAAATAAATATAATATATAGCTGAAAACTATGTGAAGTAAAACTCCCACCAAACCACCTCCTCACCCTATTCGTTGGATTCAGGCTTAGTGGTGATGGTTCCGTTCTGGTTGGATGGGGGCTGGCTGATGTTGAGCTGCTGGAACATCTCAGGGTTCAGGGCCTGCAGCTTTGATCTCTCAGACTCTCTGCCACCGCTGTGGCTCAGCTCCCCCGTCACAACCTTCAGCCTCTGCACCTCCCCCATCAGTGCTTCATTTAGGGCTGCCGCCACCGCCGATACAGAAATAAAAATTGTTAACAATCAATGAATATGCACACTTCAGAGTTCAGACTCAGCAGATATATTACTGAGAAGAATTCTCGGTTTTTCGCACAGATGACGATACCCCCCTTGAGGATCTGAGGGTCGAGTCTCCAGGCAATAGTCTTGGGTGTTTCATACAGAAAAACGAAACAAACATATTTCCCAGTCAAGTGAGGTGCAACCTCTCAACTATAACTCTCACATATCTTACAAATGAGTGCAAAAAGCAAACTTCGAGCAAGGTTTCCAAGCTGCAGGAGGTGCAGCTCGTGGTAAATAAATGAAAATCTTGGCTAACGACCACATGTAAGAAAGATCTAGCATCTGGATATTTAATTTAAAGCAGTCTGTTTCCATCCGATCCAGATATAGAGATATTATACTAGGTTCCTGTTGAATTCTCGTACTAATTCAGACATCTCAGATGTGCTGTCCACTTTTGAATATGAAAACAAAGGACGAACAGAGCGGTAAGAAAACAAAGTTTTAGTTTGTTGAGATGATTGGATAGAATGTATAGAGGTAAAACTAAGCAACAATGACACAAAGATGGCATATGTATATGTTTGTAATAAAAGAGGGAGATTTCGATCAGAGTCAGACTAGTTACCATCTCGGAGTTGAGCCTGCTGCTCCATCGCTTGAAGACGAAACTTCAGCTCATTGTTCTGGTTCGTCAACCCAATCGAATCTCTCTGCATCCACAAAGGTACAAAACTAAACACCACTAAACAATTACACGTGAGATCACACTGTCATTCCTCACCTGCAAAAGCGTAAGCTGAGCGGACAATGTAGTAGCTTCAGTCTGAAGGGTCTGAACCTTGTGTTCCAACTCGGCAATGTATCTCATCTTCCTCTCCTTTGAACGTGCAGCTGATTGACGGTTTGCCAAGATTCTGGAAACAATCAAAATGATCTCCCCAAACGTCAAAACATCAAATGGAACACATTAGGTTTTCGACTAAAATCACCACAGTAACATATTCCTACACCTTTTGACACGCTTAGGGTCAATCACTGCAATCTCAACAAGTTTCTCATTAGCCATGATCTTCTTCATCTCCGCTGCAGTAAACTCACCGTTCCCAAGTTCAAGGCTGAAATTGCTTGAGTTCCCATCGAATGAATTGGTCGGGGAAACCTTTCCAGTTAGATTTCCAGGAGAAGGTGGCAGCTTTGGTGATTCATCGCCAAAATTTAACTTCCCCATGAAACAACTATCCATGGAAACACTCCGGTAGTGTCTGCTCGTAGGAGCAATGTCTCTGCCCGCGCTTCTCTTCACGCCTTCTGTCTTTTCACCCATAGAACCTGTCCCAATCTTCTGAAAGCTACTTCCAGTCTCATCCACACTGCTCTCACCTTCAGTATCGCTGCTATTGCCACCATTCGTCTTTGTCCCACTGGCTCTACTGCTTTCCATGTCTTCCCGATTCTCATTACCGTTCTTGCTATCTTCAGCGCCCGAGGAGTTCAAAACATCAATGTTTTCCAGATTCATATACGCTGAGAACAAGTCGTCCACAACATCACCCTCCAATTTTCTTTCCCCGGCGCCTTCTCTTTCACAGCTTGATTCCCGCTTCACAAGATGAGCGGTTTTGGACCAATCAGTGCCCTCCCCGCCAGAAACCGATCTCTCCACGGGCCTCGGAGGGATTAAAGGTGCAGAATTCGAAACCATCATCGAGTTAAACCCAAAGGGAATGTCACTGTTAGACCGCCTATGAGCCTTTCTCGGCGGAAGACTGTCGCCAACCCTCGAGGAGCTTGAGCTCGAGTTACACCTTGTGAACGGGGACGGGGGCAACGAAGGGTTGAGTCCGCAGGAGTCCCTATCCTCCATCGGCACGTCATGATCCGATGCCGACGGAGAATCGCGGAACGGTGAGGGGCTCAACGGCGGCAAGGAGTCGAAAGAGAAGAAGGACGAGGGCTGCGACAGGGACCGAGAATGAGTGGGTCCCGGGTTGAAATTCTGCGAAGCGGGTTGTCGGGTCGCCGGGATCTGAGAGTACGGCGAAATGGGCGGGATCGGATTCGGGGGAGACGGCGGTATACCGAGTCGCCTGCCACTGTCGCCGGCACCGCTGCAGCTACTGTTGAAAGGTTGCGGGAACTGCGGGAATTGCGGGGAGCGGATGAGATTAGGGTTCAAATGCGGGATATCGAGCTGTTGATTCATCGACAAGGGCTGCTTCGGGATGGATGAAGACGATGTACCCAACGAAGAATGAATTCGCTGCAACATATCCGTGTTGCCCTTTTCCGTGTCACCCATTTTCCCGAATTCAGTGGATGAAATCGAGATCAAAGGATAATGCCACAGCGAGAGCGGTAAAATCCACCATTCGGAGAATCAAAACGCTAAAGGTTCAAGCTTGGATAAACCTACGCTCAGAACCCAGTGAAGGTAATGAACATCTGACCATCAGAAACACGAAGTGAGCAGAAGATAAGCGCTCTCACAAGCAATTGAGAGAACAGATTCTGAGGATTGTCTTGAAAACTTGATAGAGAAATACGTATACCTTCCCGGAAGAAAATATGGTGGGTATATCTGCCTTCTACACTGAATCAATCATGGCGCAAATGGCGAAGAATCGGAAGAAGAAAGCTGTCTCTCTCTCTCTCTCTAAATGTTGAAAAATCAATCAAATCTGTCTCTTTCTCTTCTCTCTCTCTCTCTAGATTATCAAAGAGCCACTTTTTTGCTTTGATTTTCTCTCTCCGTTGTTATCGAGAAAATAGCAAAGCTTGAGGAAGGGAGACTTAAGACACGGATTTCATGGCAAAGAAGACCCCCAAAGGGACCCGTGACTTTAATACGCCCCCCGAGATTTTGGATTTCAAATTGACTTGTGAATATTTGCTTATGTAAGGCATAAAATTTTACGTTTTCACCAATGAGATCCTCAGTTGATTTTGTGTTTCATCAAATCCAAATTGACTTTTTGAATGTTGTTTTTACTTAAAAGTTGCAGATTTGTTTAGACCGGCTACTGAGCAATGTATTCGATGAATAAAATTCGAGATTCCATCTGATTACATGCAGAGAGAGAGAGAGAAAAAAAATTGTATCATTGGGATTACGAGTGTGATAAAGTTGTAGGTTCCATTTTTGTAAATGTGATTATGCAAAATGGTAATTGTATCCGAATTTCATACTTTTGCTTTTCGATAACTTGAATTTGGACTGCCGTCCGACTTTGTTCCGACCACATTTTACATATTTGCACAACGAAAGATTCGGTGTGTTCCTATCCACAATGGATTTGGAGATTTCAGTGGGCATTTTTTTTATGAATAAATATATATTAGAATATGTACTGATGAGACAATAAGGTTGTGGGGAGGGGAGGGGCGTTAGATTTGGAATTTATACGATCAAGGAAGTTTGTCGCCCATAAAATGTATTCATATTTCCCTTTTAATGCAGGGAGCCCCCACCCCCAAATATAATCATCTTCTGCTCACTTAAATCAAAAGATATATATATATATATATATATATATACCTATATAATGTAACAGCGGTCGAGTCATGCCTGCCTTATCCATCTACCGAAGCTAAACACGGCGACAAATCCGGCGATCGTCCCACGTGGTGGTTGGTAGAGCCGTTAGATGACATTGACTTACGTCGTGGGGTCTCTCACTTCATAATCTGCATTATTATTATGATTGAGCTTTGCTCCGCCACGTGGCAGTGTCCAGTGAGTTATAAATACGCTTGGCCAGATATATCGAAATTAGGTTTCCCGTCGTCAAATCAATCGTAAGAAAAACTGGGATCCGAAAATCTTGAATATCCTTAACAAGGGACAATAACAATAATATAAAAAGGGCGTTGAAACATTAATGGAAGGAAAAAGAGGCCTACTCATATATCGAAACGACGTCATTTTGTTCGTTTCTCCACCGCCGTCACCGTCGGGGATGAACGTTTTAATCTGTAATCCGGAAGTTTGGAAATATTCGGCTTACCAAATAACCGAATAAAAGATATCTGAATATTAATGATGATAAGATCGAAGGTTTTAATTATTTTACAAAAGATATCCGGTATATTTGTTAAAAAGCTAAAAGTATCTTTTATATTTATAATATTTATCTAAGTTATTCTTATTATTTATTAAAATATTTTTATTTAAATTAATTTTTTTATCTTCTAAAAATTTTTATCTAAAAATTTCACTATTCCAAATTCTATTTTTATCTTTTTTATTTATTTTTTCTATACTACCGAATAAATATTTATCTCTACCCCAAATTCGCACACATGTCTCTTCACTTCATCGTGAATTTTTTTTTTATACTTTGAAATTCTCTATTTGTAATCTTTATCTCTATCATTTTATAGTTCAGAATTTTATAAGTCGTATAAATTCGGGTATCCGCGAGTACAAGACCGAACATCTTATTAAACCTGAGTTACAAATATCTGGATTTTATGAAGTCAAGATCGAGATAATATTTTTGAAAAACACGTGGTGATGAAGACGAGATAGAATTTTCTACAAATTAGAGTACCCGACCTGTGCCCACCTCTACCGCCGACTGTTATTTATCTTCGTATTTGAATCATTTTATGATATGCTCCATTGATTGAGATATGATTGAATTTGCACTCACATTTACAAGTTCACTCGTAGTTACAGTGGCTTCTGTCCTAAACTGAACTGAGAGGCGAAAATTGCGGATTAAAAAAACACAAACAATCCAATGAGAACTAAGCAGCGAGTGGGAAAGTTTTTGCATGCTTCGAGATAAAACATGAATGGGGATCGAATGCTATTACAAGGCAACGGTCTTGCTCCTTTCATCAGAAGGAACCACTACGGCCAGACTCCGACATGGGTGGTTGTCGGTTTCGTCAGAAACGTCGGGAGACTGACCTGAGGGTCCGTGCTCATGTGCCGCATTTGTTTCCGAACGAGCGCTGAAGGCGATGAGAATGGTAAAGCCGAACCAGATGAGGATGGGAAGAGATATCAGAGACGAGGCGTAGTAGACGATCCAGCGGAAGCCGGGGTGGTGTTGGCCATGAAGGGTCCATTCCACGGCCAAGGCAATGCCCGATGAGAACGTGGCCAAGCTGCTTATGAGAAACATCTTGAAGATCTCTGGGTTTGGAAGGTCAAAAAATGCTCTGGCCACAGCCACCCACCTTCTCCGCGGTGGCTCTGACTGTGGCTGCGGCGGTGGAGAAGTGTTGACCACCGGCGGCGGCTCTTGGCTCATCTTTGGTGAATGAAGAGAAATGGGGAAGGCGTGGAAAGGGAAGTTTGAAAGATGAGGGAAATTTGCAAGGAGAATAAAAGGATGAAGACCCTGTGATCTTACTGTTGGGGGATTCCGATTTTTTTCAGGGATCTCCATAACTGATTTTAAAAAACATTGAAATTTTCAAAATCTTTTGAAATCTCACCGAGCTCAAGTTTAAATGGTCAAGCAGTAATTACATGGACATGTGTGTGCATGTATATTTCTATGCATGAGCATGATTTCAAAGACCCCCCATTATTTACAGACAGAACCATCAAAAGCAAATACGCCCATTCCAAAAGATTATAACAATTTGGGTTTTTACCTTACAACGACATATTGACAAGATAATAACAAGGACGGCGTCCTATCAGCTTCCCTTCATTCGTTATTCATCCTAATCACTAATTAGAGCATAGTCTAAAACGGTAGAAGGAAAGGACATTACTTGCACGGAAGTTGAGCTACTTGATGGTGATGTAACGGTTAGTTCCATGCCTGGCCCAGTAGTCCTTGAGATCAACGGGGAAAGAGAGATCGTGCCCTTCCGCTGCCAGACGGCTGAGCAATCTCGTGAATACGCTCCCGCTCATCTTCCTCCCTCCCATCCGCGAATGCCTCTTGTTTGGCATCTGTGGCAGCGGATACTGCGACAACGTGGTCGTGCAGCATGAAGATTGCCAACCTCCGTTCCCCCATTTATAACACTGATGGGCCGATCCCGTGCATGTGCAGACTGGCACTGGCATAGTTGTCTCATCAAAGGCGACTAAATTCAAACCCACATCACAGCTTTCCCAGTCTGTTCTGCACTTTTTGCCTAGAGATGCAGCTCGCTGGTTCAGATCCTCGCCCACTTTCTTTCCCTTCGACCTTACTGGCTTGCTCTCCTTCCTTTTGGTTAGCTTCGAGCTGGCTGCTTCAGCCGGAATAGTCGATATTGGAAAGGCTTCAGATATGAGGGTTTCCCCTTCCCCAGTGTTTATAGCCTCAACCATGTCACGTTTCCCACAGGACAAAGGGAAGTTCAGACTGCTTCCCCGGTATTGAAGGGCAGCTAACGCATTGTCTCTCTCCATTAATGCATTATCCCTTTCAGAAAGAGCTTTGTCCCGTTGCTGAAGGGCCTCATCTCTAGCGGCTAGTGCTTCTCTCTTTGCGGATAGAGCTTCATTTCTTTCCTGTACAGCTGCATCCCTCTCAGCGAGGATGGACATGATCTTCTTATTCATCACCAGCGCATTATGTTGCTCCTTTATCTGATGCTGCGGCATCATGTTCCACTGCCCACAAAGTATGTAATGTGCTTAGCTTCAATCGCGGTGGAACCAATCGAGGAAGCGAAAGAAACAATGAAAAATATGTGTCCATCTTACCGTCATAGAGTGTGTCCCTTTGTAGTAATTGGGTTTGTATTTCCCATTTTCACACTGCCCGCCACTGTCCATCTCCTTAACTTCAAAAAAAAAAAAAATGGGAAAAATAAAAAAAGAAAACTTCAAGCTTCTCGTCTATAGCAAAAATGCAATCAACTGGTCATTTTCTTTCTGGAATGAGGCTGAAGATCAAGAATTACGAGCTCAAATTATCACGCAGAACGTCCCAAAAGTATATATGCAATAACCATTAAAAAATTTCAACCTTTTACAAGCTCAATGAGAAAGGGTAGATTAACCACAATAAAAGGAGGAGAAGAGAAAATCCATGGGGTTAAAGGAGAACAGGTTCAAATAACCGAACTCCAGAGAATAAACTTCAAAGGAAGCCAGTTCAGTTGATCACTGATACATCATGACACTGGAAACACCTTTTGGCCAGGTTTCTCATTCTCTCCTTTTTTTTTTAATCAGAATTATTTGTGCATGGGAAATCCAAGAAACCTCAAAGGCTGAGAATCAGAACAATCATTTTCCCCGAGCTGGGTGAGCAAGTAACAAGACGTGGACTTGCAACTTTCCAGGAAAGTTCCAATGATTAATCATCATCATCATCCAATCCACCAATATGCCACACACTAGAATCTAGATTCCTGTAGAAACCCCTCCAATTCTCACTATTAACGAGAAAAAGCACACCTTTCGGTATCCCAGATTCCACAATACCCATTATAATCACTCCCAAAACCGTAACATAATACCCATGCCGGGTGCTTCATCAATCAAAACTCGTACACACAAATGGGAAGAGGAAGAGTACGATGAAATTAGAACTTCCAACACTAAGCAGAATTTGAATTTGAATTTGAGTTTGAGTGTGAGCAACAATTTTGAGCTCACCGAGGAGCCAAAATTCCCCTAAGCACCATTTTGGGGGAAATTGATTGAGAACAGAAACCCTAGAAAAAACAGTTCAAACACGAAAAACATTCGCAAAATCACAGATCGAAAGATACGGGACCGGGAAAGAAAGACGAGGATACTTACGGATTTGTCCGAAAAAAGGAGAAATGGATGCTGAGAAAGATCCTGGAGATGGTCTGAAGAGCGAGCGAGCGAGCGAGGAGGAGAAAGGAAGCAGAAAGAGTTCGATACTGTTTACGAATTTTACCAAAATAGCATCGGTTATATGCTTATTCAGGCAAGAGATACAAGGCCATTATCGTCTTTCCACATTCTTCATTCAGTGCACTGCAACAACGTTTCTGGTCGAATATCTCCAATATTTGCATAAAAATACAAATAAAACGTACGTCTTCTTTTGAAAAATGTCGGGTTCGTATTGTGCATTCAATTAACAGAGAAATCTAACGAACCATTATAGGAGATGGGTGCCATCTTCACCAGAATTCGACAGATACAAAGCGTACCAAAACCAAAGCAAACCGCATTGTAATGCGCCTCATTATCTGAGAAGGAACATACTTAAAAAGAGCGCCCTCAAGCGTAGAGGTCGATTCCCCAGAACCTTGCCGGCTGGTTGGTACGGTACTTTCTGTCGATGCTTTTGATCAGTTCCATGTCCTCTTCGGCCAGCTCAAAGTCGAAAACCCGAAAGTTCTCTTCCAGTCTCTCTTGCTTCGATGTCTTTGGGATGACAACGGTGTTCCGCTGGATCCCCCACCTGAGAACAACCTGGGCCACTGTCTTCTTGTGCTTCTCCGCCAGTTCCTTCATTTTGCATCAAGATTCACTTGCTATCATTTTCTCAAATATCCGCTAACAATTGTTTAATTGTCAAGAGAAAAAAAAAAACCCATTCAAGGCCTCAGGGTAAGAGGTGGACATACTTTGAGAACTGGCTCGTCCAAACAAGACACTGAACCAAACAACTCAGCATTGGCAGCGGCACCGCCGAGTGGAGTATGAGCAGTGACGCTAATACCGTGCTTCTGGCAGAATTTGACGAGACATTCGCGTTGGAAGTAAGGGTGCGTCTCGATTTGATTAACCGCAGGCTTGATGTTGGCATAAGCCAAACAGTCTCTTGTTAGAAATATGTCAAAGTTGCTGCGAAATAACAAACCGTTAAACAAGTCACCGAAACCAATGGAATCGAAATGGAGAATCTCTTTCGTTTTTTCTTCTCTGGGGCCATGATTTGAGTAAAGGGTATTGAACTGCAGGCTTATGGAAATCTAAGAGCCCTTGGTTCTTTAAGCAAATTATCAAAAGGTAGAACAAAACAATTGCTCTACCGAAAATAATGATTTCTCCGGCAAAACATGGGTATCTGCAGTCATTTGGATGGGCAGAAGAAACTTTAATGAAATCTTCAGGTTCTGAAAAGTTAACTCAAGAAAGACTGTGGAAGCAAACACTACAAATAAATTGCAGAACCTGTACCAAACTCTCCTTCCCTCTACGTGTTTCATATCCTTCCAACTCAAAAATGCAGAAAAAACATCAACGAGCCTCTATAAGTGTATCACAGTATGAAGTTGTATTTCTATTACACCTCGAAATATGCTTCTCAATACGTGATCAGAAGACTTGTAACAAAAAAAAAGGTGGCATTTACCTGATCCCGATGCTGCGGACCAAACCCATGGAAACCAGCTTTTCCATGTCACGCCATGTAGTTTCCAGCGATATGGTTGTATCTATGTCCAGCACCCCATCATCGCCCAAAGCACTATCGGGTGTACCAACCCCTGTAAGCATATATTGAAGTAGAACAAATGGAATTAGGGGATACTCTCCCAAACATGCAGAGTTAAACTGCAACCAAGCTTATCTGAAAAAAAAAACTTCATTTATCATTTGTTGGAGACTTTAGAAATCTTGGGTTGTGACACAAAGAGAAAACGGATTCCTTGAGCATTACAAAATGCAACAACGTTTACCAGTTTCACATGCAAGTTCCTGTAGAATGGAGGTAGAGATCATACCGGTGTGTCTGGTGGCTACGGGAAAATGAACGAGGTAAAGGTCAAGGTAATCCAGTTGAAGTTTCTTCAGACTGTCCTTACATGCCTCGATAACATGTCCATGGTCTGAATTCCAGAGCTGCAAGCGTAAACCAAGACGGACCAGAATTTGAGAGTTCGTCACTTTCCTTACTTAAATGGATAGAGGTCGAAGTTATGATTCTGAAGAAGCTACACTGACCTTGGTGGTAATGAAGAGATCCTCCCTCTTGACGAGACCGGTCTTGACCGCTTCCGTGAGAGCCTCACCAACTTCGGCCTCATTCTTATACTCAGCTACACCAAAGATATTGCATTCATTTACATCCATAGCAGTATATACTTCATGAGCAAGAAACTCGTATGAAAGCCACAGAAAGTTCATATTTCTCCTCAGTTTGTGAAGCATATATTACCCTCGTGAGATACAACTATCTGTTATCAGATAGAATCTAAAGATCTATATTCTACACAGATAGGCTCAGGCCTTCCTACAATTTCCATTTCATATTTTCCCCCTTCAAAACGAATTTCAGACTAACCCAACACAAAAATTGTAGGAAAACGCCGTTTGTTTTGGATGATGGTGATGTACCTGCGCAGTCGAAATGACGGTACCCGATGTTGATGGCATTGATGATAAGATCTCGAATCACTTTCTTCTCCATCCGCCACACTCCTAAGCCGACGATTGGCATCTTGAACCCGCTGCTCAGTGTTACCGCCATTTTAGCCGAGCCTCTTTTTCTTCTCTCTCGGTTCTATCTCCTGAGCGCAGGAGTTGGTGTTGATATTGATCGCTGAAAGTGAGATGTCGTTTCCGATCTTCTACCATAAAATTTTGGAATCCCATTGATTTCAGTTATAACTGGACTTGACCGATTTTGCTGTTTTTGGTTCTTTCAAAAAAAGTATAAAATATCAGAATCTGCGCTTCCAATATTGGGAAGAAATCTAGCCATTTACAGGGCAAACTTCAAAAATACCCCTACTTTGCTACATTGACTTCAGTACGTACCCTGAAAATAGACAGAAAAAAACACCTTCAAATACTACGCTTATAATTGTGTTTTCCCCATAATACCCACCTATGTGGGACTCATAAATAAAAAACCTGACACGATACTGTAGAAAATTTAATGGAGAGAGGGAAAAGAGTAGTTTTCGATTTCCTATAAAAAAATTTAAAATTTAAAAATTTAAAAAATTCCCTCCATTACAAAAAAAATTAAATTTTTTGCTGGTAATTTTAAAAAATTTCGGTGTGTCTAGTGTGACCAGTGTGACCAGAATTGCAGTGTGACCAGTGTGACCGTATGACTAGAGTTTAATATTAAATTATGTGACCTATGTGATCAGTGTGACACGTGTGATCAATGTGACCAATATGACCAGAATTTAAAATTTGAACGGTGTGATTTTTGTGACCAGTGTGACCAGTGTAATCTATATGACCACTATAACATATGTGACCAGAATAAATTTTGAACGGTGTGACCAGTATGACCAGTGTGACCAGTGTGACTAGTGTGACCAGTGTGATCAGAATAAATTTTGAACGGTGTGACCAGTATGACCAGTGTGACCAATGTGAGCAGTGTGACCAGTGTGACTAGTGTGACCAGTGTGACCAGTGTAACTAGTGTGACCAGAATAAATTTTGAACGGTGTGACCACTGTCACACATTGACCAGTGTGACTTGTATGACCAATATTAAATTTTGAATGGTGTGACCAGTGTGATGTACCTTTGTTTCATTGACAATATGTTCTATTTTCACTCCGAAAATCCATTTGGGATTAGAGATGCATTTTTGCACATTTTTTGACAGTTTTGCTCTGCAAACATCTTATTTTCATCAAATACCATGCGATTCACTTTAGATTCATAAAACTCAAACGAAAAAAACCAGAAAGTTCATGCATCGAACCAATCTCATTTATTAATAAACTTACCTTCTATTCTTGTTACTTGTTCTGTCTTCAGCCGAATCGCGAAGGACATATGAAGTCATCGATGGAGAAGTGTTCAATGGAAAAACTATTTCGTTTGTTTTTCTGTGTAGAAATGAAATGAGAATTAGAAAAATGAATAGTTGAGAAAGAGAGAGAGTTGAAAAAATGAAGAGTTAAGAAAGAGATGGAGAGTTAAGAAATTCTGAGAAAGAGAGAATAATTCAAAATGATTAACTGAGTGGAAGAGAGTAAGAAAATATTATAATATTGATTTGTGTTCTATCACGTTACTTTTTTAAAGGGGTAATTATGTCTTTTGTACATTTTATTTTTTTTATTAAACCTAAGGGTTTTGAAGGGCAGTTCGTGAAGTCTTTGTAGCAAAGTAAGGGTATTTTTGATATTTTGCCCATTTACAGAAATATATTGAACCGTGCGGGTCCTATATAAATTGGGGGCCGTCCGATTATCCTACCCCGGCTTAAATTGGATCGTTTCATAGAACAAATGTGGGCCGTCAGATTAGGCCCGGGTGATACGGACCGAGTGCGGGCGGGAATGAGAGCAGCCTTTCTTCGGCTTCCTTGGCGCTGCCGCAGCTCTCGTTTTCTCCTGTGTTCATCATCCTAATTTCCCTTTTTTTCCTTTTTGATATGTGCTTTTGGTTGCCTTTGTGGTATTCCTTAACTTCTCTGTCGCCGGAACCAAATGAAATCTGGAGAGATCGAGATACTTTTCTGTCAGCCATCTGCCTGTTTCTCAACTTTCGGACACTGGAACGCAAGATACAAAACCAAAGCAAACCGCATTGTAATGCGCCTTATTACAGACTGCGATATTGTCGTTTATCTGAGACAGAACATACTTAAAAAGAGTGCCCTCAAGCGTAGAGATCGATTCCCCAGAACCTTGCTGGTTGGTTGGTACGGTACTTTCTGTCGATGCTTTTGATCAGTTCCATGTCCTCTTTGGTCAGCTCAAAGTCGAAAACCCCAAAGTTCTCTTCCAGTCTCTCTTGCTTCGATGTCTTTGGGATGACAACAGTGTTCCGCTGGATCCCCCACCGAAGAACAACCTGGGCCACTGTTTTCTTGTACTTCTCCGCCAGTTCCTTCATTTTGCATCAAGATTCACTTGTTATCATTTTCTCAAATATCCGCTAACATTTGTTTAGTTGTCAAGGAAAAAAAAACTCGAAACTAGTATCTGATTCAAGGCCTCAGGGTAAGAGATGGACATACTTTGAGAACGGCCTCGTCCAGACAAGACACTGTACCAAACCACTCAGCATTCGCAGTGGCACCGCCAAGTGGAGTATGAGCAGTGACGCAAATGTCGTGCTTCTGGCAGAATTTGACGAGAGATTCGCGTTGGAAGTAAGGGTGCGTCTCAATTTGATTAACCGCAGGCTTGATGTTGGCATAAGCCAAACAGTCTCTTGTTAGAAATATGTCGTAGTTGCTGCGAAACATCAAACCGTTAAACAGTCGCCCCATTTTATTATAAGAAGCTGAGGTGCAAAACCAATGAAATCGAAATGGAGAATCTCTTTCTTTTTTTCTTCTTTCTTCTCAGGGACCATGATTTAAGTAAGGGTATTGCACTGCTGTCTTGTGAAAATCTCTCCCTGGTTCTTTACCTATATTATCAAAAGTGCTCTAACCGAATATGATGATTTCTCTAACGAAACATGGGTAGCCGTCTTATTCATCCTATGTGCAGTCTCCATATGAATTATCCAATGATAGGATATCTAGGAGAATTTGGATGGGCAGAAGAAACTTGATGAAAACTTAAGGTTCTGAAAGTTAATTCAAGAAAGACTCCTAGTGTGGAGGCAAACACTACAATTAAACTGCAGAACCTGTACTAAACTTTCGTTCCCTCTATGTGTTTCATATCCTTTCAATTCCAAAATGCATAAAAAACATCAACGAGCCTCTAAGTGTATCATGGTGTGTAGTTGTGTTTCTATTATACCTCAAAATATGCTCCTCAATACGTGATCAGATGACTTGTAACAAAAAAAAAATGGCATTTACCTGATCCCGATGCTGCGGACCAAACCCATGGAGACCAGCTTTTCCATGTCATGCCATGTAGTTTCCAGCGATATGGTTGTATCTATGTCCAGTACCCCATCATCGCCCAAAGCGCTATCAGTTGTACCGACCCCTGTAAGCATATATAGAACAAATGGAATTAGGGGATATCTGAAACGTCATTTCATTTCTAAAAGTATCATTTGCTGGAGAGTCACTTTAGAAAGTTTGAGTTACAAAATGCAACAATCTATCCCAGTTGCACATGCAATGCAAGTTCCTGTAGAAGGGAGGCAGAGATCATACCGGTGTGTCTGGTGGCTACGGGAAAATGAACGAGATAAAGGTCAAGGTAATCCAGATGAAGTTTCTTCAGACTGTCCTTACATGCCTCGATAACATGTCCATGGTCTGAATTCCAGAGCTGCAAGTGTAAATCAAGACGGACCAGACTTGAGAGCTTTTCACCTTCCTTATTTGAACTTAAATGGATAGAGGTCGAAGTTATGATTTCAAAGAAGCTACACTGACTGACCTTGGTAGTAATGAAGAGATCCTCCCTCTTGACGAGGCCAGTCTTGACTGCTTCCGTGAGAGCCTCGCCAACTTCGGCCTCATTCTTGTAATCAGCTACACCAAAGAAATCAACACATCGAAGTTATTGCAATCATTTACAGCCATAGCAGTATACTTCATGAGCAAAAACTCGTACGAAAGCTACAGAAAGTTCATATTTCCCTCAGTTTGTAAAGCACATACTTCCCTTGTGAGATACAATTATCTATTATCAGATAGAATCTAAAGATCTATACAGATAAGCTGAGACACCTACCTACGATTTTCGTTTCATATAAAATCAGGGGAATATAAATTTTGTAGAATCGCGCAGGTTGAGCAAATTAGATTTGCCTAAAATTCAAGACACGACCCTGTAAAGATTCAAAATTTCATAAGGTTCAAGCAAACCCATGATGTTATTTCCCTCTGCAAAACGAATTTCAGATTAGCCCGACACAAAAATTGTAGGAAAACGCCGTTTCTTTCGGATGATGTTGATGTACCTGCGCAGTCGAAATGTCGGTATCCGATGTTGATGGCATTGATGATAAGATCTCGAATCTCTTTCTTCTCCATCCGCCACACTCCTAAGCCGACGATTGGCATCTTGAACCCGCTGCTCAGTGTAATCGCCATTTTAGCTGAGCTCTCTCACCTTCTTTTCCCCTCTTTGTCTTCTCTCTCGTTTCTATCTCCTGAGCGCACGAGTTTGGTGTTGATATTTTGAAATTTGAGTGCCTTTCAACCTCTTTTTTTTTTTTTGTTTTGCTTTGGGTCTCTCCAATTAATTCTAAACACATGTAAAAAGGGTTATTCACTCAAGTCAAATGACCCACTTGGATCGCATCTATTTCACCTGTACACCATAAAAAACATAACATATTTTTTTCTCCGTAAAAAGACGAAATTATCCTTAATGAATCACGATATTTATCCGTTCGAAAACAACTTCGTTATTACGACTTCGTAATTAATTCTAAATATAGTTACAAAAAGGTGGTAAAAAAATCATCCGTCTTATTTTAGTTGTATATCAGTTATATGTTAGTCGTAAAAAGATCGCAAAAAATAAAACGAAAAGAGTATTTTGGACTTTTTCAACCGAAAAGTGGGGTTAAAATTGAAAAAAAAAAATTTTTTTTTTGGATGGTGTACCCTGAAATTGCTGCGACCCAAGTGGGTTATTTGGGTAATATTCCCTGTAAAAAGTGAATTCTTTTTGGTTTAAAAAAAAGTGATAATTTTTGGTTCATTGGTCATTTCCTATCTTCTACCACAAATTTTAGGGGTGGATAATTCGGTTCGAGAATCTAGTTCTGAACCATACCGAACCGATTAATTCAGTTTCGGTTCGGTTCGGTATTATATAAAAATATCGAACGGTACGAAATTTGAAATACCGAATGGTTCGGGAACGGTTCGGTTCGGTTCGAAAAATACCGAACGATATTTCGATATTTTTATTTTTTAATTAAAAAATATTTAAAATTAATAGTTAATTATGATATTTACTAATATTAAGAGTTTGTTTGCGTAATGCATTGAGATTAATGTTGAATTTTTTTCCAAGTTGATAAGTTCAAAACTTTTATTTTGTTGTATAAAATTATTATGTTGGATCTCTTTACTTTTATATTATATAAATTATAAATGTATCATGAACTATCCCGAACCGTTCCGAACCGTTTTTATTTCGGTTCTTATTTGATATTTATTTATTAGTACCGTACCGTCCCGAACCGTCATAATACCGAACCGAATAATATAATACGGTACTAATTTGGTATAAATTTTATAATACCGAATAAATCGTTCCCGAACCGAACCGTTAAAATTCCGAACCGAATCCCGAAACGTCCACCCCTAACAAATTTTTAAAATGAAGAAATCTAACTATTTACAAGAAATACATCGAGCCATGCGGGTCCTATATAAATTGGGGGCCGTCCGATTATCTATCGTTTGATAAAGCAAATGTGGGCCGTCAGATTAGGCCCGAATGATATGGATCGAAGGTGGGCTGACCCCACTTGAGATCCCCGACGTGCCACCATCGCGGTTATAATTTCAGCCTGTGTTCCGCAACTCCTCAACGCGCTGTACATTATCACAGGTAGATCAGATCCCGGTGTCTCTTTGCTCAGTGAAGAACAAAATTCTTCCGGCAAGCTTCGACGAATTCGTCCTTAGATCCAACACCGGCGGAGATGTCTGCATTCAGCGGCGATGAGACTGCGCCTTTCTTCGGCTTCCTTGGCGCTGCGGCTGCTCTCGTTTTCTCCTGTAATCATAATCCTAATTTCCCGTCTTTTTTTCCTTTTCGATTTCTCTTGATTTGTGTTTTTGGTTGCTTTCGTGATATTCCTTAACTTCTCCGTCGTCGAAATCAAATGGAATCTGGAGAGATTGAGATACTTTTCTGTCGAATTCACCGATCTCTGTTTCTGTTGTTTCTATGATACTTTTGAACTTTCGGATGCTGGAAGGCAAGACAATCCTGATTATAGGCCTCTTTGTATTGGGTTTGACTTGGATAAGAGAAATCCACTCAGCTATGCCCTTTTTGATGATTATATGTTTGAACTCTGAGCTTGCTGTAGTGGATTATGATCTTGAGAAATTAAGACGCCCGTTTGCTGGATTACTTATGAAGAATATGCAGAGACATTGTGATCTGACTGCGTTTACTACATGAATAAGGTGTCTCGTGCCTTTTTGTGACATGATCTGTTTATCATTTAATTAGGCATGGGAGCTGCTTATGGGACAGCAAAGAGTGGTGTCGGTGTGGCATCTATGGGTGTGATGAGGCCTGAGTTGGTAATGAAGTCTATTGTCCCAGTGGTTATGGCTGGTGTTCTGGGTATCTACGGATTGATTATTGCTGTGATCATCAGTACTGGGATCAACCCCAAGGCTAAGTCGTACTACCTCTTTGATGGGTATGCCCATCTTTCTTCTGGACTCGCTTGTGGCCTTGCTGGGCTTTCAGCTGGAATGGCCATCGGGATTGTGGGTGATGCCGGTGTCAGGTATGCATTTTACCCCTTTGTGTCATGCCCTACCTTTCTCACCTCATGTGCGTGTGCAATTTCCTTTTGTTTATCTTCACCCTGTTGAACATAAAGAGGATCAGTTTTCTATTGCCATCTGTGGGCATCCCATGATCTGGACTTAGTTTGATGAAACAACTGCAGGCATGAACTAGAATGGCATCATCCATAGAAATGGCAATGGGTAGAGGTTGAGCATGCACTTTTTGAGAGAATATGGAAAGAGAATGGACACTAAGTTAAAACCAGGCATTTTGCTTCAGTTGTTTAGATGCTACATACAACCCGCGTGCAATTTAGTTGTTCTAATGATAAAACATGTACTCTTAACGGAACAAGTTTAGGCATTTCTACATTCATGACATCAAGCATGTGTATCAACATCTCTCTCCCCGTATATATGTTTCATGATTCGCAAACATGGTATGTGTTGACAGGGCCAACGCTCAACAGCCAAAGCTCTTTGTGGGGATGATTCTTATCCTCATTTTCGCTGAAGCACTGGCTCTGTACGGTCTCATCGTGGGTATCATCTTGTCTTCCCGAGCCGGCCAGTCCAGAGCAGACTGAGAGAGGATGGGCGGTTTTGACCCCCAAAGGATTGTTTCATCTATGGGTAAGACGGTGGATTTGCTTGAGGTCAGCCATGTGCCTTAAGAAGGTGCTGGCTCGAACCCAAAAAAAACAGTCTTCAGGTTTTGTTGTTTCCAGCATTGTGTTATGTTTGTAATATGATGGCGAAGGATTCTGTGCTCAAAATAAAAACGCCGGGAGGCACCTCCTACTTGCGTGGAATGGTATATGTGAACCTCTGGTAGGATGGATTTGTAGATCAGTTTCACTATAATATTGCCCAGATTGCAAATGCATGTGTGTGTCGATGCGCATATTAGGGGGAACCGTACCTAAAGCTCCACCGTCTTTGCAAAGAACAACACCGATGCGGATGAGTGCCAATCTAACGTCCTTTTCATTCACACCACGGTTACAAATATCTCATCTCGACAATGTCTCTGTCTGAATACCACCACCAAATCAAACTCAAGTCGTGGAAAAAAAAAACTCCAAGAGCGGGAATCATCCCTCTCCTCCAAAACCCAACCAACCACCTAATGATTTATACACATGCTGCTACACAAAACAGGATATATATATATATAGCGAGGGAGAGAGATGAGAATCAGCGTGTTAGAGTTAGAAAAGAGTGGCCATGCTTCGTCTCCAGCCATGGGATCTCCTAGTCGGAGGAGTGAAGCTCAGACCGAACATTTCCTTGAAGGCAGTGCCCTGTTCCACGAACCTCACGAGCTTGGCTATGACCGCAGCACTCTCCTTCACATGGCTCATGTCCTTTGGGTTGCTCCAAAGCTGGTTTGCCAGCTGCAGCCTCCTCCTTTTCGAGTTCAACCCTATTCCAAACTTCTCGTACAATCGTCTCCTCTCCTCCCCTGAGAACCTCTTCCCTATCAGCTTGCTCATCGTCCTTCTCTCCCGGTGCAGCTCCTTCAGACTGTGACGTAAAATGTTACCAACAAGAGAGACATACAGTGATCGTATGGAGGATGGGGAGGGTTTAGTGACTAAACCTTGAGGAGAGTGTGAGGGTTCGACCCCCTTCAACAGCTTGGGTTCCTTGAGAAAAGCTATCTTTCAAGAAGGAGAGTCTTCTCAGCTCTACTCCAACGTAAATAGAATCAGCCTCATCACCCTTGAATAGCAAAAAGAAGTACGTTCTATGCACCAGTGAGACATGGCAGCTCTGCCACAGCTCCAGAATCTCTTGACGCTTCCTTTCAAATTCCTCTGACCAGTTTCCCGACATCTCCTCGTCCATGGCATCTAGGCCAATGTCCTTCCTCGTTTTCCTCGAGTTCTGCAGATCCCCCACCTGCATCCCAAAGTTTTCATCATGTAAATAGATAAGATGAGGACGAGATCTTAATAAACGTTTCATGTTTACCTCGCCTTGACGCTTAGCCATTTCCTTCAACTCTTCAACGAAAGTACGGACGCTAGTAATGGCACCCTCTTCTTCTCCTCCCAGCGTTCTGATGCTGTGAGCGTCAGTGGAATCGCTCGCACGAGAGGACATAGAATCATTCCTCAACAATCTCTCACCATAACCAAACCCAAAAGCTGCATCTGGTCTTCCTGTATAATTCATCTCCATCCCGTCTGGTGGAGTGCTCGTACCTGTGACATGATTTTGCCTGCCACTCCACGTCCTCCTCAGTCTCAACCCTCCATCACTTGACACAAACCCATTCTCACCAAGACCCACTCCACGGCCTGCATCTGTTGACGTGTTTTCAACCTCATTGTCCCTTTCTGAGACTGGCACTTCCATCTCAATGCACTGAACTTCTTTGCAGTATTCTTCTGATGATTCCCTAGAGAGCCTTGGTGACACCTCATCATCCATATCAGCGTCTGAATGAGACCGAACATGAGCTCTTGCGGTTGACAGAGGCGTAGAGGTGCCGTCTGATATGAAACTGGTCCTGTCTGGATCAACCACGCCTGATATCTCTGATACTGAACTGTCCTCGTTTCCAGCCATTCTCATGAAATCTTCAAGCTGAGATTGAGCAAGATCCCGTTGTTTGGTCAATTCTTCAATCTGCTTCTCCATCTGCACAATGTAAAACCCAAACAAATCACCCACATTATCCATCCGCAATCACCCAAAATTCAAGGCCAAACACCATTGTGGAAACAACATCTGAGTTTTCATAAAAACAAAAACCTTTTGTATCTGAAGATCTTTCTTCCTCAACACAACTGCGCAATCACAGTTCAAAGCAGCAGGGGCGGGGTTTCGTAGCTCGCTCTCGAGCCTGGCTAGCTCTTGCTGCAGGTGCTTCACCAGAGCCTTGTCGGACATGACGACATTGATCTGAGCCTTTGTGGTAACTTCCTTGGCACAGCATGCAAACAGAAGCGTGTTCCTTGTCTGCTCCACGTGGCTTCTAGCAGGGCTCAGAGTGCAGACGATGGCCGTTCTCGCATTGCCTCCCAAGCACGGCTGCAGAATGCGTGTGAGCTTGGAGTCTCTGTAGTTGATATGCCCTTGTCTTCCCTTGCTGCATCAGGACCACATCCATGAGTAAGCACACTACCTCTCACAATTGCCAAAAGTTCTCAGCAATAATCACGGAGAGATCCTAAACAAAATATGTGTTACTTCTTCTAGACATCATTCATGTATGCACGTACAAGAAAAAACAGTACAAATTTTGCCCACCTTAATTTACGGATCACAGTTCCTAGAGTCAGCAAACTCCTATTGATATGGCAACCCTCCTTGAGTCGTGCACCAGCAGACATAGCCTGTGAGGCACGCTCACTGCCAGCCAAATCAATAAAATTCTGCATGTAAAATGCAACAACATGAACACGATGATTAAAAGAGGAGAAAGCACTTTCAACTCCGAACTAAACAGACATTGTCGAGACAGCAGAAAGAGTAGTGTACATACCACACTGGCCGTGAGGGTTGTTGAATTTTCTTTGCCCAAGAACTCACGGGCAGAGCTTTCAACTGTCTAAGCAAGTTATAACAATCAAAGGTAAGTACCAAACAAAGCCAGTGAGAACCTTTGTATCTTAAACCTGAAGATGGAAAAGAGATTATTTACCAGTCGGATTATCTGATGAGATCTTGAACTTCTCTCATTCAATGAGGTTTCACCGATCTTTCGCTGTGCTGCAATAAATCCAAGAAGAAATGAGAAAAATGTGTTACAATTGTGAATTCTCAGCTACCAGCATAGGTAGAATCATCTGAGAAACGGAATTAAAGTGAACTGACTCTGGCTTTTTTACCTTCACAGATAGAGAGAAGGTCCTTCAAATGATTCCAGTCTCTCAGAATTTCCTCTGTGGCTTTCTCGACAATGGTCCCTTTCTGATAGAAAATGTAAAAAATGTCTCAGACAAGGTTATGAATAGTACAACGTGATCGGATCGGTAAGGAAAATCAACCCTTCATTCACCTCAGGATCATCTCGGAGCCTTAAGGGTGTACCATCCGAGCTAAGCAGATCTCTTATGGCCTCATTGTAGATCTCAATAGCAAAAAACTTAACAACGAATGCTCTTTCTTCATGCTGCAGCATTCATATCCATGGATGAACAAGACAAGCAAAAAATAAAAGAAATGGACTTTTCTGAAGCAATATAACCGTACCTTGTGAATATAGTCAAATATGTCACACACAGCAGACTCAGTTATACCAGTCATGGTGTATGTCTTTCCACTACTCGTCTGGCCATATGCAAAAATACTAGCTGGGAACAGAACAGTGGTTAAAAAATGGTTAGCATCTTTTTCAACGTTTGCATAAGCAGAACGAGAGAAATTACGTATGGAAGCTTACAATTGATTCCTTCAACAACCGAAAGAGCAATTTCCTTGGCTCCTCCACCGTAAACTTGCCCAGTCGTGCAGTCACCGCGGTACACTCTATCTGTCACCAAAATGACAGGAAAATGAAACACAGAGTTGATACTTGGATGAAAGGTCAGTCTTCAAGTGCTAGTTTGAAGTTCAACACAACAAGGCAATGTAGATTTTAAGTACAAAGAAGAGATTCAGAAGATGTGAAAGAACCACCAAAGGATTAACAGAAAATTTAAAACTGCAGTTGTCTCTTGGATTAAAGGTAATTCTGATCAGAACATCAAGTATGAGTCTGAATTTCAAGCTCAAGGAAACAAAAGCAGGTAGATTTAAGGAGATATAGGGGTCTTCAAGAAAAATTGCATATGGTTCTTCTTACCAAACGTGTATGCAGAAGGAAAGGTCGAGCCCTCACGCAATGTGTTCCTGTATATTATGGTGGTGTCATTGATGCATTCCCAATCTGCAACTTCATTAGCCGCAATCTCTTTCTCGTTCAGAGGCCTCAATCTCACTAAAACAAGAATCTTTTCTTCCCGGGCTGCCGGAGGCTGCATCTTCTCCATTTTCTTCAGCTCTTCCCCAACAATTGCTCCCATTGCTCAGACTAATTTGATCAAAAGACACCCATGACCCAAAATGAGAAATTAAACCTGAGATATCTCGTTTTCCTGATCCATAAGACAGTTCAAACGTCAAAAGGGTAGTCTTTTCACACTGCCAGATTTGCGGTGAGCGCTCGTGAACACCCTCAGAGACAGAACAGCCCTCCTGAGGAATCAATCGATACGTCTTTTCCAACTAACACAACCATAATAAATGACGTAGCCCTAATCTGGCAAATGTCAAAACAAGGCCTTGTTTTTCTGTTGGAACAAAACACTGGAAGAAAAGAGAAGGAAATCACACTGGTCGCTCTGCAGTTAACACCATATCTCTTATTTATCAGAGTCCCTTGCTTCCAACACACTGCTTAACCGAAGGACATCCAAAGACAAGACATATTTTATATTTAAGGTTTTTGCAACACGGTTTACTTAAAAGGTGATCAACATCAATTAAAGAATAAAAAAAAGGTTAAGACTTTCTGCAGCGGCCACCCACTATGCTTGAAGGCGAAGTCACGTAGACCAATCAAACTTTCTTTAATGGAAAAGAGGTTATACATGGCCCCACAGACCACCCCGCTGTATCAATCTTTACATGTAAGGAAACTATAAAATTACTACACCCAAAAGACTGGAAGCTTAATCTAATCCAATCCAACAAACACAGAGACCAGAACTTCTTTTTATTTGTTAAAGAACAAGTAACGCTCCATTTAGTCCAGAAGACAAAGTCAGTGAGTGAACCAAAACACTGAAAACGGCCCTCGCACAGCTGAAATACAAAGCACTGGTACTGAATGCAAGAAAATCAAAGATATGTTCTTTTCCAACATGTGTGGTAAACCATTCACGTTGTTGAAACAGATCGGTAAAACTTTATATATGGGTGGACAGAGATGTATGTGCTGTGTATTGATGCATGTAAAGACATACCTATGAAGTCTTTTCCTATAAACGACCCCGTTTCACCAATCCCTCACAGAGACTCCGCAGCTCCGATCTGCAACATCCGCCACAAGACTTCAGCGCTGACAAATCAAGCAGTTTCAGGGTGCGGTACTGACAGTGCAGCTATTCCCTACTTTGTTTGTTTTGATAAGCTTACAAAACTTCCTGTTTGATTTTGAAGGCCGAATGTGGTAAAACAAGAAGAAATAACAGGAAGACATAAGCCCACGCGAGATATTTTCTGAATCTCGAAACTGTCAGGCAGATCCAGCATACTCTATATTTTGTTCGAGAAAAATCCAAATTTTACCAATAATCGTAGGCACCCAGATGAAAATGAAGAAACTTTTTTTCCATCGAACGTTCCAAAAATAGAAATGTCGATCTAAGATATATAAGGAAAAATATCAGACAAAACACAGAGATGGACAAAATAACCTTCAATCAAAACAAAATACAAAGACGAAAAATCTGATTTCACGCGAAGAAAAACGACGACTTGAGGAGAAATAAGTTAGAGAAAAACATACGAGACGAACGCGGAACCCAAGGGACTGATGAAACAGTGAAAATCGGAGTTTTCTCAGCGACCCCACGATCTCTACCGGCCGAGAAATTCGGTGAGAAAGAGAGATAGAAGCAGATAGAGAAAGTAATAGCCCCCTTCGTCGTCGTCTACTTGCTCTGCTACTGTCGCATATTCTCACTCTAAACTTCCTCCATTCTCTGTCCAAGAGGGACCAATGGGCATTGATTTGGTCCCGCAAATCTCGTAGGGAGGAAGCGCTTCTCAGTCTTCTTCTACTCGAAGTCTCTCTCTCTCTCTCCCCACTACCGATGGACCGGGAGGGGGGGGGGACGCAATAAATGACGGTTTTAGCCCTGAAACTCGTCGGTAATCTCAAAATGCCACGTGAAACAAAAGCATTGGCTGTTTCCTTTTTTATTTTTTATAAGTTTTAATATTCGATGTTGTCAGTTATGCTCGCGACACGTGGAAAGTCGTTTTCTATGCGTCGAAAGCTGGCTCAAAGACCTTCTTCACGAGGCAGAGGGTAACAACACCTTTGGTGCAGTAACATCTTTTTTTTTTTATTCTTTCTAGCATTTTTTTTTTTGTTAACTAACCTTTTTAGCATTTAATATACAAATATTAAGTTGCTTATATTTTTTTATTAGTTACTTGTTTGTATTACGAAGAAAATGCCTGGCTCCTTCATTATATTACACCGTACACGCGCGTGAGCTTGTGTATGTTAGCGCAGATTACGGATCCCTTTTCCATTTCGGTCGGTCCACTGATAAAAGAAGGTAATAAATGGAGCACATGTTTAACCTTAACTGGTGAAGTAAATAAAAAACATATGCGGTGGTTATATATGTAATTTCATAACAATCGAAGCAGTTTACATAATTAAAAAGGATAACTGATGAGGGTTTATAATTGATCGAGCGGAAAATGTCAAAAAAGAGTTACAAAAAAGAAACGCGTCATCGATTGAAAATTAAAAACTCGTGATGATGATAGTTTCGCAGGCGCTCCGATGGCGATGAATCATGTGCCGTGTTTGTCGGAGCGGTTAATTTCGGCCCTAATTAACGGTAAATAAATAAATTTTTATTGATTTAATTAAAGAAGATATTGTCTATGTTAGACCAATTTAATTTTTATTGATTTAATTAAGAAAACTAATCGGAATTTAAGATTTGTAGACGTATCTAAGCGAATATCTGTGATTTTGATATGGGGGGGGGGTTGTGATAATTAAAAAAAAATCGTCCGAATTACATTATGAATAACTTAGTGGGCTGAAGTGGAGAGGTTCAAGACCCAATAGGAAGGAAACCCTTATAAAATTCTAACGTGGGCCTACAATTGGCCCATTACTATGCCCAATAAAGCCCATCCATAAGCAAACAACTAGGATGAAATAATGAATTGATATAATTATATATAATAAATACAAATCATATATCATTGATTTAGATTGAAATTACATATAAAAAACGTATAATCAGAGTCATAGTGTTATCACAATCAATATTTTAAAGTCGCAATATATGATTAAATTGGTAATAATAACATAATCAAAACCTTAAGTCCATAGAATCATAAAGAGGACCCTAAAAATTAGGAAAGGTGCTTCCAAGTTATTCTCGACCACCAGTTCCGATTGCCCGTTTGTCCCCACGGTTTTTTCTTTTATTCATCTTGTGGCCTTCGTTATTTTCTAGCCTGTTCCTTTTTTTTTTTTTGGTCATTTTGGAAATGTTTTGGAAATATAAAAGACTATAATATATTCCCAAACGTTATTACAAAAAATAGTTTGGCAAATAATTGTATGATATCAGAGAAAGAACACAAGAGGTCTATGTGTATGTAATCAACAATTTTTCGTTATTGTACGATTCCGATTATTAAAAGACAATAGTTTATGCGAGATCTGCAGCAATAGAAGGAAACATCTGAAACTCAAAGACAAAAGAGACAGAGGGACACATCGGGACCTTCCGGATTGACCAGAGTCTTGTCCTTCTGAGGTTATCCTGTTGGATGGCCCTGCCCTGTCCCACCCAACGTAGATTTGGATGCCTGGCTCTACCACCAATTAGATTCCGACAACTCCTCTCATATATATATATATATAAATTGTGAAATAGAATTATGGATCTAATGTTCTCTGAGAAGAAAAAAAATTGAGTTATACAAATCTAACCCTGTTAGTGTCCAACAAATCTACTTTTTTGGATAGAAAAATCGTCATAAAATTCAAAATAATACCGGAAATGTTTATTTTATATATAAGATATACAAAAGATAAAAAGGGGGATAATGTTAGTATCATTGTAGAAAAACGTCGAAATCGATAGAGAACATGAAAAAAAAAACGTATCCCATTAGGAGAAAAAAAATAATTCAGAATCTACAAAGTAAGAACTTACTATAGAACAATGATTAGATTTGGAGAAATTATAATAACATATGTCTCCTTTTCATCTTATTAAATATAGGACAAGCCGAAATAAATAAAATGATCATATACTCGTATGCGTTATAAAATCAGAGAAATATTAACGACCCGGATATTAGATCGTTAACTATAACCGAAAACTGTATTTTGGATAATGGAGAAAAATATATTTCTTATTAATCTCTCTCTTGTAAGTGTACAAATTGAGGAACTCAAATGTCTTAATTATAGAAATCTCAAAGTTATTGTTCACGTATACGGTCGGTGTGAACAGTACCGTATATATGAACAGTAAGTCGGTATGAACAGTAACTGTGGGCTCCACCATAAATATATTTTATTTATAACACTCCCCATTGGAGCCACCGTTAATAAAAACACAATTGCGTGTTTCGGTGTTGTCTCGTTAAAACCTAATGGGATAAAACCTAATAAGGGAAAAAGAGTACAACTACATGCTCCCCTGAACAAGATATCAAAGATCTTGTAAATGACGCATCCCAATATTATGTACATATTTCGTGAACACCATTGTCGGAAGA